GCCCAACCAATCACAGGCTTTGGTGTAGAAACAGACCTGGGGCTCCAGTCCTGGCTCTTCTGCTGTGTTCTGTTGGGCCAGTGCTTGTCCAAGGCTTGCTCTCCTCAAACTATAAAATAACAACTACGTAAGGATGCACCAAGGACTAGTGAGTGACTGTGTGTAAAAGTCCTAGCCCATCAGATTGTTAACAAATTTGAGATTCTTCACTCCTTTTTCTGCATTAATTGTTCTTTTATTGATTTTTAAAATGTTTTCAATGCTTATTTATTTTGAGAGAGAGAGAGAGTAGGTCAGAGAAAGAAGAGAGAGGATTCCAAGCTGTCAGCACAGAGCCCGACATGGGGCTCGATCTCATGAACTATGAAACAAAGAGTCAGACGCTCAACCAACTGAGCCACCTGGGCACCCCTGCATTACCTGTTCTTGAAGAGGCAGGACCTCACCTTTCCGTGTTGTCTCCTGGGCCTCAGAGCTGACTGCCTGAGTGTGAAGCCAGCTACCACTCAGTAGGAAGGACCTTGGGCAAGTTGCCCAACCCCTAAGCTTTTGCTTTTGGGTCCTCTTCAGAAAGAGGGAGCTGATACTTTTCCTGGAAGGTTGCTGTGTGAATGGGCCATAATGTATTGAGGACCGTGCAGCTCTCACTGTGGCTGGCCCCAATGAGACAGGGCTTCCGTGTGAGTTTTGCCCTCTTCCCTGGACATTGCAATTATTCTGTATCTCACTGGGCATCTTTTGGCTGCAAAGTAAGTGAGAAAGGTAGGTTTACTCGGCCGGCCAAACTAACTTGGTGGATTTGTGATCCTTGTTAATTGGAAGCAACACAATGTTTAACTAAAGCTCCAGCAGCTTTGATCCCTCCATTTACATTTTCTAGCTCCAGGACTATTGCCCATGAAATGCAGACATATTGTGAATTCATTTGACAAGACTGTTGGCCAAGTTCTTGGCTCACTGGGCACAACACACTTCACACCCCTTCTCCCAGGAGCATGACTGGATTTCTAACCCTTTCTGCCCACCAGAGCACTTTGAAATGATCGATTCCTCAGGCCTTTTGTGGCATACAGAGATGGCATTTAAAAGGGAGAAGGGTGGAATGGAATCTGGTGAAAAAGGAAACAGACACTTTTTTTAAAGTTTATTTATTTATTTTGAGGGAAAGAGAGAGAGAGAGAGAACGCACAAGCATAATGGGGAAGGGGCAGAGAGACAGAGGGAGAGAGAAAGAATCCCAAGCAGGCTCCACACTGTCAGTGCAGAGTCTGATGTGGGGTTTGAACTCACAAACCATGAGATCATGACTTGAGCCAAAATCAAGAGTCACTTAACCCACTGAGCCACCTAGGTGCCCCAAAGAAACAGGCTTTAGTATCTGAGAGACTGTGGTTCAAACCCAGTGCTCCCACTGAGGAACTGTGAGACCACGAGCAGGGGATTCCACCTCTGATCCCTGGGGCCTGATCTGGTATGATGGGCATCATATAGGTATCTCTCCCACAGGATGCTTGAGAAGGTAAAATAATGGAAATAATGCCCAAAAATGGAGGTTCCATAAGTTATAGTGTTGGAGAGGGGGGAAAATTATTTGCTCTACCCTCTTAGATTCAGTGACTGGGACCAAGTAAATTGAACTGACCAAAGATTGAATAACAGGAGCAAAGCTTTATGTCATATGCATATGGCGGGCCTCTTGGAAATGAAATGAAAACTCCAAAGAGGTGGTCAGGCCTGAGGCTCCCATATCATTTCAACAGAAGGACAATAAATTTGTGGGGAAGTGACAAGGAAAGGAAGAGAGTTTTGAGCTCCCAGGGTGCTAAATGGTGGGAAGGTATGTAGAAACAAATGGAAGATGATTATTCTACTAGAGCTTCTTGCTGCCGGCCCATCTTGGTGTGACTTTTCAACTTTCCATTGTCTTCAAGGCCCTAAAACCCCAGGCAGAGGAGATTTATAACAGTCCTCATTTTCAGAAGTTTCTACACTTTGTCAGATAAGGGAGGCTCTGGGGAGTCTTGGAGATGCATCTGTTGATTCTCGGTGGCCTTCGGTGGCATATTTGGGGGCAGTGTATTCTGATCCTTGTCAGTACATTATTACTGTTTTCATATTGTTGCCTGATGAGTTTTCTTTCTCAACAACGTGGAAATTCTCAAGGCACCTGGGTGGCTGTTAATTAAGCATCTGACTCTTGATTTCAGCTCAGGTCATGATCTCATGGATTGTAGGAACCCTGCACCAAGTTCCATGCTGAGCCTGGAGCCTGGTTGGGATTCTTCTCTCTCTCCCTCTGCCCCTCCCCACTCTCTTTCTCCCTCCACCTTCCATTCCCCCACCCTTTCAAAAAAATAAAAATAAATATAAAAAATTTTTAAAAAACAATGTGGAAATGCTTGAAAAGGAGAGAGAATTAGCTGAAAGCCAGGGTTGTGATGCTCACAATTCTCAGTACACATGTCCAGTCCGTTGATTCTGTTTAATTCAGCAGAGAATTCACTGAGCAATTCTCCTGGGTCAGTCCCACATCAAGCCTGCAGTGAAAGCAAGTCCTCTTTAATAAAACTCACTGACTCTCCAAACTAGTGTAGCTCCAAATACTGCCTGAGGTACACTTAAAAATTCTTTATTATGTATCTCAAATTCATATTTAACTGGGTGTCGTGTATTTTCATCTGCTGGATTTGGCAACCTCACCCCAAACACATAGGTGATTTGGCCAGTAGGTAAAAAAAAAATCACACACACACACACACAAAACCAAAAACAATAACAATAACAATAACAATAACAATAACAAAACCTACACAGAAGGAAAAATGCTTTTTTCTCCAGGAACAAAATCCATAGAAAAATGCATTCTTAGAGTAAGAAGTGTTAGCATGTCTACTCTTCATAAAAGAAGGAGCAGTTAACACAATGAAGCAGGAGTCAAAAAAGGGAAATGTCTCCATTATGTAGATGTGGATAATTATTCTTCTATTATAAATTTGTATCTGTTCATGCATCTGGTATGATGTGGAGCTTCAGCATGGAGATGAAGGAGGAAGGGGGGAAGAAGAGAAAAGAGAAAAAAGGTAAGAGAATGAGAAAGCAATTGAGATTCCTAGGTATCTACCCTATTCAAGTACCTACCTTATTGTGCTAGATACTATGTTTCTTCATCTCATTTAATCTGCAGGAAATATCTTCAAGGTGGCTATGACTCTGATCATTTTACACATGAGGCTTAGAAAGGCGAAGTCATATTTGCATAAGAGTTGAGGTGCCAGAGGAAAGAATTCTCATGTAGTTTTCCCACCTCACCCTTGTCCCCCTTTGCTGGAAAGTGTGCTAAGTCCTGGGTTCTCCAGCTTGTCTGTCTGTCTGTCTGTCTCTCTCTGTCTCTCCCTCCGTCCCATTCTCTCTCCCTCCTTCTCTCTCTGTCTCACTCTCTCTCCCTCCCTCTCTTCCTCCTTCTCTGTCTCTGTCTTTCTCTCTGTCTCTCTCTTTCTCTCCCTCATCTCCATTGTAAATCACTTTACAGAGAATACACACTCAGTGGGCCATGAGTGTGAGTTAGTTGCTCGAGTTCCCACCTCCTCTAAGTCACTGATCAGCCTGAGGGAAGGGGCATGTGTGGTCTGTCCCTGGGTCACCAGCTGGCACACAATGACTGTGTATGTATTGAGTACCTACTATGTGCCAGACTCTGGGTAAAATGCTTTGGACTCATTATCCTATATCCTCACAAAGACCCAGTGAGCTAGGTTCTTGTCCCCATTTTACAGATGAAGAAAACAGATTTGCGAGAATAAGAGGGCTCCACGAAAACCCCAGCTCTTGCTCCTAGTAAGTCTCGTCTCTGTCCGAGGAAGCATTTAGAAGAAACACCAGTCCAGTATCTACCCATAATTCGAAAGTAATCTAAATGTTTACTAGGACATTTCAAGAAAATTCCAAAGGTGGTTCCATCCCGAAAGGACAGCAGAACTGGTTAAAATATAATTTGCCACAAAGATGCTCTGTTCCCAAGACATTATCCCAACCCCAGGGCACTTTCTCTCGATTTTTCTCCTCCTCTCCAATTCACCTTCCACATCTCTTCCATTCTCTACACATGGAAAATTTCTGCTCTTTTCAAAGCAAGTCTGTGCAGCCTGTATGTTAAATGAACATTACACGAGTATCTACGCACGGAGGTGTGGCAGCAAGTAAGTGAGAACTTCAGCATCCTGCAAGGTGCCTGGCACACAGAAAACACTTGAAAGCTTGTCACCATTATTCTTATTAATCTCAGCTTTGCAGCGTGAACTATTATGCTGGTTCTGAATAGAAAATGCCCAGGAGAATGACCAGCACACACTGCTGTGGGCAAGGAGGTAGTGCGAACAGTCACGTAGGCCCGTATATTCTTTTCCTATTTATAAGCATGCGTGATGCTGTGTTTGGAGCTTATCTCCCAGCTAAACAGCCAGAAAACTTATGAAGAAGACATTAATGGCTTGTGACTATGCGTGCACCTCCCCACCCAGAATCCCAGATTTCTGCGGTTATGCAAGGCCATGGGAATAATTCTGGCACAAGCTGTGAATATAAGCGAACGTGGTACTTCCTCCCAGAACATGTTAGTTGGCTCCTAGTCCTCCAGCTCTGTCCCTTCTGCTGCCACAATGAACCAACGACTAAGGAGCACTCAGGGATCATATGGAAAACTACAAGGCAGTGGGGCTCCCTGAGTGACCGTGTGGAGCAGAATCCTCACCAATGTACAGTGAGTATTGATATAAACAAGACATCGATTTCTGTTGAGTTAAGCCAATGAGATTGTGGAGTTAATTTGTTACCTCAACATAACCTATCCTAATCCTAACTATTCAAAGCCTTCTGCAGGATGTTTCTAATGACTCCCCATGAGGTTTTCTCAAGGATATTCTGCACCAATGTGTTTTGTAACACAACCTGTTTCCTCTAAGGGTCTGCTTGCCTGCTTGCAGGTGGGTCTGCGTACCACGGACATGCCAGGCTACCTGGTACCCGGTCCTCCAGTGAGGCTGTGCGTGGGCCTCACGTGCATTCTGTCCCTTTGGAACACAGGTGGGTCTGATCTGGGTTCAAGAGTGTCTGTTCTATATGCTGAGTTTGGGTTTTCACTGGGCTTTGGAGAATGGCAGGAGCCAACGTCTCTGGCCAGAATCCTAAACGAGTCTGATCGACTCGTAATGACGAATTCCCCATTTCTGGTTTTGTCCTCTGACTTTTTGCAGCTGAGTCTCATTTCTGCATTATCTCATTATCTCCCCCTCCACTGTTCCAGCCCTTGTCCAAACCGCTGTCTTCCCTTTCCTGGACCGCTAAGGGGGCTTTCTAAATCAGCCTGTTTCTCCTCTTGTCTCCCTTGACCTATTCTCTCCACTTGCCAGCCTGGATCTTTTCACAACTTTCGGTAAGTAACCTCCCAGGCTCCTCCCTCATTCCACCTTCCCCGAGTTATTAAGTGACTTCCTACTTCTCTTTGGATAGTATCTCAAGCCCTTTGCATATTCTACATACCCTGCCCATCTTGCCATCCCCAGTTGCTACAATGCCCCGCCTCCTCCATTCTTTGTGCTCTATCAGTGTTGGCTTTCGCTCAGTCCTTTAAAGTCATACTCGTGCCCACCTCGTTCCCTGGCACACACCGTCATTTACACTCTGAATATCCCCTCAGCCAGTTACCTCTGATTCAAATACTATTCATCCTTCAGCCGTACATCACCTTCCAGAGACAGCTTTCAGACCACTGAGATGAATCAAGCTCCCTGATGCACACCCTCAAAGTGCCCCTCAAAGTATTCAACATCATTCGTAGTAATATCTTTGAGTCTTCTTTTCCTTTATGTCTGCCTTCCCGACTAGTCTATAAGCACCACAAGGATGGAGTCTATGCTCCCTTGGTCACCCTGTTGTCCCCAGCACCTAGCACACGAAGCTCGTTAAAGTCCAACTGCCACATAACATTGTCATAGTTGATCAATAAATATTTGGTGACTAAACTGAATGAACAAACTACACGTGGAATGTTAAGCATTGCACTTCACCATTTCCGATCATAATTTTCACATCTTCAAAATGAGTATTTTGAATTAAATTCTTTCTTATGTCAAGTCTGGGTTATAATTTCTCTGATGAGCGCTCTTTTATTTTAGTGTCTGCGATGAAAGGAGAAGCCAAGAAGGAAAAGGTGATGACCTTCCTTCCTACAACAGGTAATCTGGCAGGTGCTCCTGCCCAGCTTGTTCTCAAACTCCTTGGCTTCCCCGAGCCTCACTGTTTCTATCTGTAAGATGGAGGTTGCGTCTGTAGCTTAAGTGTTAACTGTCGTAGTAATAGTTTCTGGCCATTGCTCTTGCTTTATGGCTCATGGGACACCTGGAGTCTCGTGATCTTATTAAATCCACAAGGATCATGTCATTCTATTAGCAATGGACAATTTCATAATGGGAGGCATTGCCATGGGCTATCCTCACTCTCGCAATAAATTCATCTTTGTCTCTTTCTTTTTGATGGTACAAAATCTGCTATGCAGCACAATGGTGAATGTATTGCAGCATAAGGAACACACAGGAGGCAGGGGCCTGGCTGCCTTTTCTAATTTGTTTGTAAACAAGCAAGATAATGGCGGGGGCGGAGGGTGGGGAAGAAGGGGGCAGGTAGCACAGCAGGGGAATTATTCTTTACTTGTTTACTTTTTATTTATTAAAAAAAATTTTTTTAATGTTTATTTATTTTTGAGAGAGACAGAGCACAAGTGAGGGAGGGGCAGAGAGATGGAGACATAGAGCTTGAAGCAGGCTCCAGGCTCCGAGCTGTCAGCACAGACCCTGATGCAGAGCTCAAATTCACAAACTGTGAGATCATGACCTGAGCTGAAGTAAGATGCTTAACCGACTGAGCCACCCAAGTACCCCTATTTATTTATTTATAAAGTTTATTTGAGAGAGAGAGAGCACGCGCGCTCAAGTGGGGGAGGGGCGGAGAGAGAAGGAGAGCGAGAATCCCAAAAGGGTTCCTCACTGTCAATGCAGAGCCCAATGCAGAGCTTGAACTAAGACACAAACTGTGAGATCATGACCTGAGCTAAAACAAAGACTCAGACTCTAACTAACTGAGCCACCCAGATACCCTCAATTTTTATTTATTCTTAATTAGTAAATTCATGTGGTTCAAAATGCAAAAGGTACTAAAGTGTATGAAGTTAAAATGGTCCCCAGCCAACCACTTTCTTTACCCAGAGGACACGGTGGTACTGATTTCTTGTACATAAACAGGGTAATTTTCTTTCCTTTTGTGTGTGTGTGTGTGTACGAGACACTGTTCTAAGTACTTTACTTACATGAACTCATTTTATCCTGAGTAAGTTATTTTTTAATTAAATCTATTTATGTATTTACTTATTTATTCTTTTTAAATTTAATTTATTTTTTTAATTTACATCTAAGTTAGCATATAGTGCAACAGTGACTTCAGGAGTAGATTCCTTAATACCTCTTACCCGTTTGGCCCATCCCCCTCCCACACCCCCTCCAGCAACCCTCTGTTCTCCATATTTAAGAGTCTCTTATGTTTTGTCCACCTCCCTGTTTTTATATTATTTTTGCTTTCCTTCCTTTATGTTCATCTGTTTTGTATCTCAAAGTCCTCAGATGAGTGAAGTCATATAATATTTGTCTTTCTCTGACTGTCTTATTTCGCTTAGCGTAACACCCTCTAGTTCCATCTACGTTGTTGCAAATGGCAAGATTTCATTCTTTTTGATTGTTGAGTAATATGCCATTGTATATATATACCACAGGTTCTTTATCCATTCATCCACCGATGGACATTTGGGATCTTTCCATACTTTGGCTACTGTCAATAGGGCTCCTATAAACATTGGGGTGCATGTGCCCCTTCGACACAGCACACCTGTATCCTTTGGATAAATACTTAGTAGAAGCAGGGTAATTTTCAATAAACATTTCCCTTATTTGAGCCTTCAATTTTCTCCTCTTTAAATGCAGACAGTTTGTGCTCCACAAGTAATCATAAAGGATGAAACATGATTAAATTAGTAAGCATGCAAAAAATATGAAAAGTACCAACACCTTCTATCTTACAGATATCACGATAGTGTCTTTTTATCCAAAAAAGAAACAATCCCTTTATAGCTGCTGTGTGGCAATTTGAGAAATGCTTTCGTATGGCATCCTCTTTAGAACTTTCTGCTTCAGGGGTGTTTAGTTCACACTTCAAATATTATTATCAAAATCCACCCACAGGTTTGCGATTATAAGAGGGAATGGTGGAAATAACGCCTCCTTGGTGGAGGGAGCGGTGTTCAAGAACGGTTCTCGGTTAGGCAGCATGGGGGACCCCTGGCTTGGCAGGCGGCCCACCAGTCTCCCAGCCTCTAGCATCCCTGTGGCCTGGAGCTCTGATTCCTCACCTGCACTGGGGTCTCTCTCTCCTTCCCCGCCAGGTCACAGGCGAGGTCGGCGGCTGCCACAACTGTCGTGGGGCTGCTTCCTGTCGACTGCTCAGGTGGTCTGCCATTCAGAGGGCAGACAGGAGAGCAGACTGAGTGACAGCTTTTGACCAGCTTGATCGCGAATGTCCGTCTCAGAGTTCCTACTGTCATCGTATAACCCAGTCCCTCCCGTAACCGCGTGTGGGGATGGGGACCCGTAGATGCCACCTACTTCTGGCCTTAAAGCTCCAGTATTTGTCCAGGAAGCTTGATACCCAGTGAAAGGTCAAACTGGGTGTCTGGAGCAGAGTTCCAACAGGGTCTTTGAAAAGCTGGGGAACACTCCAAAACATTGGTCCGCAGATGAATGGATAAAGAAAATGTAGTATATATATATATATATATATACAGTGTATATATATGTGTGTGTGTGTGTGTGTGTGTGTGTGTGTGTATACAGTGAAATATCGTGCCGCCTTAAAAAGGAAGATACTCTTGCCATATACATGACCATGGATGGGCCTGAGGGACATTATGCTAAGTGAAGGATGAATACTACATGAGGTCTCTTCTAGAAGGTATGTAAAGTAGTCACTCGTACAAGCAGAGAGTAGAAGGGGAGTTGCCAGAGTCAAAGGGAAGGAGGAAACAGGACCACTGGCCAGATATGGGGTATCGGTACATCACTTCACTTTCCTGGGCCTCAAAGCCCCCATCCTTCAAAAGGAGTGTTGGACAAGATGCTTTTGAAGGATGTTACAAACAGTGTGTGACTGTTTCCAAGATCCTATTTCATTCATGAGAAATTTTATTTCAGTGTCTGGAAACAAAGACATTTAAAAGGAAAAAGAGGGGTGCCTGGGTGGCTTAGTCGGTTAAGCGTCCGACTTTCGCTTAGGTCATGATCTCGCGGTTCGCGGGTTCGAGTCCCGCGTCGGGCTCTGTGCTGACTGCCAGCTCAGAGCCTGGAGCCTGTTTCAGAGTCTGTGACTCCCTCTCTCTCTGACCCTCCCCTGCTCACGCTGTCTCTCTCTCTCTCTCCTAGAAATAAATAAAAATATTTAAAAAATAAAAATAAAAAATAAAAGGAAAAAGAGGCAGGCCACCCTTGGTGTGACAGGTAACCAAGCCAGCCTTAATTCCTGACTTGCTCTGAAGCCCTGGAACATGTTTTTCACTCTGTCTGTGCCGTGGTTTTTCCATCTATAAAATGGGCATAAAGCACCTCTCTCCCCAACCCCAGAACATAACATGAAACATCATCATTCCAAAAATAATAGAAACAAAGGCAGTATGTTCATAATGCCACCTAACCCCAAATGACAGATGCTTCAGGTCATGGCTTGCCAGTAACTTCCACAGGGAGGCCCTTTTAAGACTGTCCCCTAGACCAGGCTGGGGGCCCTGATGTCAGAACTCACGGCATCCTGCAGGGCTGCTTCTGACATGTAATTACACATGCATGTCCCTTCTCCTGCCCTGGGGTACAGACAGCAAGCCCCACAGAGGTGGAGACCTGTCTTTCTCTCTCAACACCCAGCACGTTTGCTTGGCCCTCAGTAAGTGTTTGTTGAATGAATAAAGAATGAGCGTAAGCTTAGGCGTGTCAAGATTTCCTATGATGCTTTCTTCGCTAGCATGAACTTCACTGAGTGGGGAAGTGGCCTGCTATTGTGAAAAGTCACTTCCCTGCAGCTCTTAGGAAGCAGGTTCTGGGCTGTCTAGTTGAGGCAAGTTCCTTCTCCCCTGGGAGCCTCTGTTTCCTGATCCACAAAGGGGTGGGGTAGATAGGACCCCTGCCTGGGGATCACCTGCCTATTTATTATTTCTAGGCCAAGGTCAGCCCAAGGAGACTAGAGTGTCAGGAGAGGAGTCTGTCTTTTCACTTGGCAGGTGATGCCAACCTTCTCGAAGCCCCAGGCCACTGCATACAGTCCCCTAAGTCTCTTCCGGCTACATGTCTGCCCTGAAGCCTTTTCTCTCCCCAGTGTCTGGCCTTGGAGGAGAAGAGAGGAAGGAAAAGGGGGTGGCTTTTCTCGACACCACAGGTGAGTGAGCCTTTTCCTCCCCCAGGGCCCCGTGGGCAGCCCCGGCTGTTAAGGGAGCCCCCCACCCACTTCTCCAGACCCCCACTCATTACCCCCTCAGCACAAAGCACCCTTTCCTCAGCCTTCAGATTGTGTGGTCCACATGGATCATCCAAGCACTAAGTAAGCACTGAAAAAGTCCACGTTAGTAAAAATATAAAGAGGAGCATCACCCATTCTTTCCACCTTGTCCACTGCTATTCTGCATCTTCAGGAAATGGCTGGAGAAGGGTGGGCTTTAACCTGGCAACATCTCAGCTGCAGGTTACCAGCATCTGGGGGAGGTACCGACTGGCTGATTGATTTTGGTACGAATGTCTGGGCCACATCCCAGACCTATTAAATCCGTATCTCTGAAGCTGGAGCCGTGTTTGCCCCAGCAATGCCAGCACCCAGCCAGGGGACTGCCTGTCGGACCACATAGTCGGTTCCAAGCGCCGTGCTGCTGAGAAATTTGCCATTTCCGTGGGCTTCCCCTCACACATGAGATGCTCCTGACAATCTCTCCTGTCTCCAAATGCAGAGATACATTATTCACAAAGGGAGCATTCCCGTCCTTCACGGCGACTTCCCCTATGGAAACTGTCATGGGGTACGCCACTGGCTGTCACCTCCTGATGACGGGAACTGCCTTTTATCTCTGAACTCTGTGTGCCCGGCAGTGGGGATGAGTTCGGTAGATGGGCAAAGGGGAGGCCCGGGCGCCTGAATGTCAGAAACGGGGAGCTTCTGTTGCTAAAACAAAACCTGCTTTTTTCTGCAAATTTCTTCTAGAGCTGCCCGCAAGGTCGGTGGACCTGTCTGCGCTGAACCTGACAGAGCTGGTGAATGGAATGCTGAGTAGAGCTTTAAAAGGTAATCTTTGTTGGGGCCCCTGGGGGGCTCGGTCGGTTAAACATCTGACTCTTGATTTCAGCTCAGGTCATAATCTCACGGTTCTTGGGATCGAGCCCTGCGTCAGGCTCCGTGCTGACAGTGTGCATCCTTCTTGGGATTCTTTCTCCCTTTTTCTTTGGCCCTCCCCCATCTGCATGGATTCCCTCTCTCTCTCTCTCAAAATAAATACACATTTTAAAAAGGTTTTTAAAGGGTAACCTTTTTTTAAAAAGCCCAGTCCAGGCACACTTTTGTCTCGTGCCCACTTCCCTTCCGGAGCATCCATACTCTGGGCAAGACAAGTCACATCTCTGCACACGGGCTCCTCGGTGTTCAGAGAGAGAGCGCGGTGTCCTCCCTAACTGCCGATGGGGCTGAAGACATCCACACGAAGTGGAAGGCTGGCCAGCATCTTGAGAGCGAGCTGTACCCCATAATGACACCCAGACAGGCATTTGTGTTCACAAGTACGCTGTGGGAGAGCCGCCGGGGCTTAGCGACAGATGGGGAACACGACCAAGGGACGTGCCCTTTTGCAATTTGCTCGTATTCAATTTTGTATACTAACTCCCATTTTTGTTATTTTATTGTTTGTTTTTGTGATTTATTTTTATTATTTGTTCATCGTCTTTAAAAAAAGTTTTTTTAAGGTGTGTTTTACTTTTGAGAGAGAGGGAGAGAGAGAGAAAGGCAGAGTGCAAGTGGGGGAGGGACAGAAAGAGAGGGGGACACAGAATCCAGAAGAGGCTCCGGGCTCCGAGCTGTCAGCACAGAGCCCGACTCGAGGCTAGAACTCATGAACCATGAGATCGTGACCTGAGCTGAAGTTGGATGCTCAACTGGCTGAGCCACCCAGGGGCCCCTCATCGTCTTTTTAATTTCTCTTATCTGTTTACTAATTGATTGCGTTATTATTGTCAGTAGGTGTTTGCCTGACGACTTTGTTATCTCACTGTCCCTGACAGATACCAAGAAGTTCTTCTCCTTGCTAAGCATCACCTCCTATAGTTCCGTGGCCTTCCACAAGTTTTCCGTGGCCATTTACAACAGTAAGTGCTGCCCAGCTCTTCTTGGCGGCGGCGATGGTGAGCGATGGGCCAGCAGGGCCAGGTTCTGTCTCAGGATTGCCATGTGGCCCCTTTCTCTTCACAGTTTCTAACCTGAAGGCTGTGGACCCGGCCAGATTCCCCACCCGGTACTGCTACTGTTTAAACAACCAGACCAATGACTTATCAGGTGGGTGGAGCTCCCCCGCCCCCTGCCCCCAGGTTTACAGCTTTCCTGATGTCACTTGTATCCTTTCAGATAAGTGTGACTCAACTTTTTTCTCCCTGGAGTGAAATGAGACAGTAATATCCATTATTCTTGAACATGTGCACACATCACTGTTAAGAAAGTGCTTTCCTTGGTTTTTATCCTAGAGAAGTAGGTATGTCTGAACAAAGGGGCAAGAACAAAATGTTCATGCAGTGTTGTTTTAATAAAAAAAAAAATCAGAGAACAGCGTACATATCCATTATTAGAAAAATGGCTAAATAGTTGACTAATTCAGCTCTGGAAAACAGCCGCTGGCAATGCACAAATGAGTCGGTGTGGCCAGGTATAGAAACATGTCCATGACATCTTATTCTTTTTTTAAAAAGTCTATTTATTTAAGAGAATAAGAGAGAGAGAGAAAACAGGGGAGGGGCAGAAAGAGAGGGAGAGAGAGAATCCCAAGCAGGCCCTGCACTGTCAGCACAGAGCCTGATACAGGGCTCGAACCCACAAACCACGAGCTCTTGACTTGAGCCAAATCAGGATTTGTACAGTTAAGTGACTGAGCCACCCAGGCACCCCTCCAGGACATTTTTAATTAAGAAGAGAAAATTACAAAATAATGCAAAGATACCCTGTCATTGGTGAAGAGACACACACCTGGACAGGAGGTAAGCGGCTACCTGTGTTTTGCAGTGGAAGGGGGTTGATTAAGGGGACTTTGTATCATCAGATCTTTTTTTTTTTTTTTAATATTTTTATTTATTTCTAGGAGAGAGAGACAGCGCGAGCAGGGGAGGGTCAGAGAGAGAGGGAGTCACAGACTGCAACAGGCTCCAGGCTCTGAGCTGGCAGTCAGCACAGAGCCCGATGCGGGGCTCGAACCCACTAACCGCGAGATCATGACCTGAGCGAAAGTCGGACGCCCAACCGACTAAGCCACCCAGGCGCCCCTGTATCATCAGATCTTTATTCATTGCTAGTACATTCATGTATCGAGGAGAGAGGAATCTGTGGCCCAAGAGAGGGAAATTGAGGTAGTATCCAGCTGCTTCTTTTCCTCTCAATCTCCCCTGATGCTCAGCTGCACTTGATTTGATGTCATTTGATTCTGTGAGAGCTCTGCATCTTTGCAATAAACACTCTTCTTTACTTGGAAAAAAAAAAAAGAAAGAAAGAAAATTAAAATTATTCAGCGTCCCTTCTATGTAGAGAATCCTGCAAAGTGAAACCAAAAATTACTCTCTCGCCGCTCATTCGCCCGTCTAGTCATTCTTTACTGAGAACATGCTATTAGCCAGATCCTCTTCTAAGTGTGGGGGGCCCCTGCACTGAGCAAAGTAGACTCCCCCCCCCGCCCCCGCCCCGCTCTCATGAACTTAGGTTCTATAGGAAGGGACAGAGAGTCAATGGGGAAACCAAAACAACCTGGTATGTTGGCCAATAGCATGACCATGAGAACAGTAAAGCAAGGGGACAGAGTGAGGGGGGATGTGGTAATGCGCACAGCTGCTGTGTGTAGCATGGTCAGAAAAGTCCTTGCAGGAAGTGGAGAGACAGCCCTCTGGTCCCTGGGGACTCAAAGTTTTGGGCAAAAGCTCAGGCAGCAGGGTGGGGACTGGAGAGGCCAGCATGCCTGGAGCAGGTCAGCCAGGGCAGACAGTCATGGGAAATAAACTTAAGGCTTTGGGGGCAAAGCAAGGAGGGTATTGTAGATCAAGTAGAAGTTTATAGTCCACTGCAAGGATTTTGATTTTCACTCTGAATAAGAAGTAAGCCAGTGTTGGGGACACCTGGGTGGCTCAGTTGGTTAAGCGGCTGACTTTGATTTTGGCTCAGGCCATGATCTCAAGGTCTTTGGGTTCAAGCCCCACATCAGATTCTGTGCTGACAGCTCAGAGCCTGGAGCCTGCTTCGGATTTTGTGTCTCCCTCTCTCTCTGCCCCTCCCCCACTTGTGTTCTGTTTCTCTCTCACACACAAATAAATAAAAACATTAAAACATTTTTTAATCAGAAATACCTGATATCCTAACATCCATAGGTAATCACATTACCCAAGGTGGTCTAAGCCACCTCTCTAATCTGCCTACCTAAGCCGTCAGTCAACTAGTTATCAAAGTCTACCTATCTACCATCCCTCCTACCCCAACCATCTACCCAGCTATCTTCCCATCCTACAGTGCATTTTCTATATTATTCAGAATATAAGCCAGGCTATTATGTCAAATGACCCCAAAATCAGGTGGCTTACAGAGTGTAGAAGCTAATAGCTTTCATGTGTGACCATCTGGGTAAATGCGCCAGGGCTGCTCTGATGCTTTGATGGTTTAGGGGGCCCAACTTCTTTCTAGCTTGTTGCTCTGCCTCCCATGATGCACTGCCCTTATTCTCATCATCCAGGATGGTTTTGCTGCCACATCCACATTATAGCCGCAAAGAAGAGGAGAAAGGAAGTGAAGACATGTCTATTCACTATATAAACTCACAGTCTGGAAACCTTCCACGTGCTTCTTCCCACATTCAATTGCCCAGCATTTAGCCATATGGCCACACCCATCTGCAAACTGGCTCAAAACTATAGGTTTTTTTTTTCTAAGAGAGAGAGATAGAGACAGCGTGAGCAGGGGAGGGTCAGAGAGAGAGGGAGTCACAGACTCTGAAACAGGCTCCAGGCTCTGAGCTGGCAGTCAGCACAGAGCCTGACGCTGGGCTCAAACCCACGAACCGTGAGATCATGACCTAAGTGAAAGTCGGACGCTTAACCGACTAAGCCACCCAGGCGCCCCTCAAAACTGTAGTTTTCAAACTACATTAAACCCAGTTGTGCCTTGGGGCGCCTGGGTGGCTCAGTTGGTTAAGCATCCAACTTGGGCTCAGGTCATGACTTCACGGTTCGTGAGTTAGAGCCTCTCATCTGATTCTGTGCTGACAGCTCCAAGCCTGGAGCCTGCTTCAGATTCTGGGTCTTCCTCTCTCTTCCCCTCCCCCATTTGCACTTAGTCTCTGTCTCGAAAATAAATAAACATTAAAATAATTAAAAACAAAGAAACAAACCCAGTTGTGCCCAACTGAAATTTCATGTGCTCTTACTAAAGGAAGGTGGCCGAATGGATATTGAGAGAAAAGCTTTGGTGTCTACCATGTTTTCTACGTAGCATTATAATCCACCTTTAAACTAATCAGTATGCCTTAAAAACCATTCTATTCCAATGAATATAAATATGCTTCATCCTTCGTATGAATTCATTGTCCTTGCTGAAAGAACATACCATAATGTACTTAATTTGTCCCTTCTCAATAGCAGCTTAGCTTATTCTCAGCATTTTTATCATTATAAACAATACTGTATGTATGTATAATCACTTGGGTGCTTGCCCAGTTATGCTGTAAGATACAGTTCTTGACAGGGAAACAATTTTGCAGTGATTTAAGTTCCTAAAACTTTCTCTAGACACCTTGCATAAGTTTATACTCTTACCTTCAATATTTGAAAGCATGTGTTTTTCTACACCCTTGCCAACATGAAGTACTGAGACAACATTCTTAAATCATTACCAATTGGGTAGGCAAAAATTTTTCCCCCTATTTTCTATTTATATATGAAAGTTGTCAGAAATACTGATCTAGAGGCATTGCTACTAAGTTAGATAATTCAGATTTTCATCAAAACAAAGAATATCGGTGACGTAATGAGAGCCGATTTTCTTCGAAGCCTAATAGAGAGATTGTAAAAGCCATTCTGAAGGGAGAGTTCACACAGTGTGTTGAGTAATGAGCAGCAGTGGGAAAAAAAGGGAAAGAGTGAGAGCTTTGGCCCAAAATAGACCTCAGTTCAAATTCAAGCTCCACCGCACCCTCTGGCACCTTGGGAAAGTTCCATCGTCTTTCTGAAACTTGGACAGAACCTGGATTCCATCCTTGAGGTCCTGCCTCTGGATCCACAGCCTTAGCTTCTACACAATGTTAGAAGCAGATTGCAGTTTGCTGGTCTGCCTATGAGTCTCTCTCTCTCTCTCTCTCTCTCTCTCTCTCTCTCTCTCTCTCCCATGAATCTCAGCTTCACACGGACAGAGATGCTGTCTCATGCTATCCTCCTGTCCTGAGCAGCTGTCTGACACCCCGCAAACCATCAATAAATATTTATTACATAAATGACTTGATAAACAAACAAAAAAAGACATTTGAGAAGTAGGAAGAAATGGGTGTAAGAAGCAATGAGAGACCACCCTTCCTCAGTTTCCATAACGTGATCATGGACAGACTGGTCTAAAGAGACACAAAAAGGAGGACACACCCAAGTTTGCATCCTCTTTGCATGGCCAGGTGTCTACACCTATATCTGTGTACGACTGTGTCTCCCTTCTGGGAGACTGAACGTGTGACCGTGCAGGTGTGGTAGGGTCACACCATAGCTCTGGTTCGTGTAGTGTCCGCCTCCCCTCGGCCTTGTGCGCTGCACATTCCATTGGTTGTTGCATGACATTTTCCTGCCTCTCCAGGGTCTGCATTTTCAGTCTCTTTGTGTTCTGTATTTTCAAGTCAGCTTACCTCCCCCCTCACTGAAGCTCATAATCCCATTGAGTAAAAAGAAGTGTTTTTTCCAAAGCATGACAGGAAATTATCCAGATGATGCCAGAAGCTTCCCTCTTACTGTTTGGGGCTCCCAGAATTCATATCCCTTGTTTTGGAAGCCAAACATGCCTTGGATCCTGGAAAACCTAAGTGAACAGTGCAAGAAGTAGCAGCTCTTTGCCTGGAAGTGTATCGGGAACTTTCATTGGTCAGTGGTGCCTCCTATGTCAAGCTATGGCCCTGCTCAAACCCTGCTCAGAGAGAAAGTTCGCAAAGATCTATAGCCTGAAATGTGAAATTCTCCCAATCTCCTCCATCAGCCTTCTTAACAAGGGGGGACGGGAGCAGAGGTCCCTGGTTCTATTTTGTAGAGGCTTCTTATCTCTTTATAATTCACCATTAATGTTTACAACACATTTTGAAAATCCAAAATTATGTAAATTCATGTCACCTAACTGTGGGGCTGCCTCCGGTCAGATAGATTTGGTATACCAAAGGAATTTGATGAGATAACAGGGGACCACAAATTAGAACAACCATTATTTAGTAATATAGCTTTTCCACAGCCATTTGGTGTTGGCATAGAGGGATTTGGAGGGAGGAGAAAGGGAATTATCCAGAAGTGGTGGATAGCCAGTTTTCTCCCTGACTGGAATTAAGACATCTTTATAATTAGTAATATTTCTCTACATGATTGTTAACATTCCTCAACAAACTGAATGAAATCAAACTTGTAAAATCTACTCTGAAAAGTCCAAATACACTATACTTCTCCACGCACGTCTCTGGATCAGAAATGTAAACCTCCTCAATCCTTCTTGCAGATTTCACGGCCCTGCTGGTGGACGTCATTGGAAATTCTACCAGCTACCTCACAGAGATTTTCAAGTCAACCTCAATCCTCTCAGGTGTGTTGAAATTGAAAGCACTTGGAAAATGGGAGATTTGGCAAATTGGCATCTGCCAATGGTATATTAATCAAAGCTGGTAGACTCCCCACCCCAAGCCCTGGCATAGGCCATGCAGCCAGGAATCTCTGTGTAAGTTTCATTTAGACAATTGGTGTGGTCCAGTTTCAACCACTAGTATATGAAGGCTCTATCTCCCAATCAGAGCTGTTCCTGGTATCTAATGGGAGGGAGAGTTCATTGCTCAAAGTAAGGGGAATCCATGCAGACTCGAGAAAACAGCTTCTACCGGATAGCTATTCTCCCATTTTAAAGTTGAGAAAGCTGAGATTTAGAGAGTTGCCTATTTTGCTCAAGGTTAGTTCGGAATTTAGAATCAGATCTATATGCAGCCTATGCCCATGTCTGGCACACAGTTGAAAAAGAGCTGCCCCTCAGAAGATGGCCTCATATAACCCCCAGGGACCCACTTTGCAATGCATGTTTCTAGTCAATTACCCACACATGGACTCATCAGAAGGCTAGTGTGCTGTACCATGGAACAATTACTGTGCTAGAAACAGGGGAGGGAGAAAGAGAAATAATAACAGATATCATTAGCTGCCAGGGACTCTTTGAAGGCTTTCCATGTATTCCCTCATTGTATCCTCACTACAGCCTTGTGGGAAACTACATATTTATCCCCACTTTACAGGGAAGGAGACTATTGCACAGAGAGATCCAGTGACTTGCCCAAGATTATTCTACAGAAGTGGAACTCTAACCTAGGCAATCTGCCTCTCTAAAGTCTGTGCTCTTGCTCACTATGCTAATGTATATAATAACAGGATCCCCATTAACTCTGATAATTGTTATTATTATGACTATTTACCGAGCTCTTCCATCTGCCAGGCACCATACTTGGTGCTTCATACACATGATCTCATTGAATCATCACGGCCATCCTTTGAAGGACATGCAAGCAAATGTCCACATTGTTTGGGCAGCATCTTAAGGGACAAGTGAATTTGGGAATGCATTAGTTTTCAGACTTTTAAAGATCTAATTGGGCATCTATACCATATGTGAAACAGTTCCAGCAACATCTAAGACAGCCTGCCGTAATCAGACACATTCATTCCCATTCATGTAGCAAAATGACCCTTTACACTAAGCGAGACAAAAGAAGACTCTAAATGGCCTCGTATCCGTCAACTCAGGTTTGCCACCAAATAAGTGTGGGTACCAAACTCACACAAAAACCTCCATCTTACAGATATTTGGGGATTTGGAAATCCCAAAGAAGGGAACTGTGGAATTCAAATATCCACCATTTTAAAGATCAGTAAACTGAGTCCTCTCTAGGACTAGGTCAAGTGGTTCACTCATGGCCATAGAGCCGGCAAATGGCAGATCTGATGTTGTAGGGCTAGCAGTTGACCCCAGAGACTGTGTCCTTAGCCATTATATTATAATGCATTCCCCCTCAAAAAAATATCAAGGGTGCCTTAAAAGGAAGGGGTTAGCCTTATTTTCCTTTAACATCCTCAGCTAGGGATTTCCAACTTAATTTTCGCTTCAACCAAAGACTTAGAGCTTCAGAACCATTGCTGAGCCTTGTGTACTGGTTTGTCTTACAGTGAGTCAGACAAATGAATCCGACTGCATCTTCATCTGTATGATGACAGGAAAGTCAGGTGAACCACCAGCCATTCATTCTTTGACAAGCTCTCTGAGCTGAGAATGAGCCGAACCTTCCAGTAGGTGAACCCAAGATTTGATCCTGTTGGTGTGGTTTTTGTAGGAAGGAACCTCTCCGACTTCTGGGAGATGGCAGAGAAATCTCCTGTCATCAACTACACATTTACCAGCAGCATGTCTGGTGTTCCGGGTGAGTGTGAACCCCCCGGACTCACTATTGCCTCCAGACCAGGGCCTCAGCCAGCAGACTGAAGACTGAATGCAGCCCTCAGGCGTTAGCTATACTGTGCTAAACTCAAAGGTTTTCACCATTAAAGAAAAGTAATCTCTGGATTCTCTTACAAAAAAAGATCTTGTAACCAAGATCTGAGGAGAGACTGAGGAGCCCCTGTCCCCATCCCTTCCATTAGGAGGGACATCTTTCTCCTCTTTTCCAGAGCCCTCTCTGCTCCCTGTTACCTTGCACTTTTTTCTCACTAACTACCTGGCTTTTGTAGGTAATTGAATTTGTGATCTTGTTATAGACATTGTCACCCCCATAATACTCAGTCCATACATCATCTATGCCTCTGCACACACCTATCCATCTGCTTGCCTTTTCCCTGGCACCAGGTGACCCTTTTAGAACCACTTTTAAGCCTTCTTTGTCCCTACACTTAACTGTCATGTCTAGCCGAATGAAGTTTCTGGAATCTGGCTGGTCCTCCAAGATTATCTGCCGCTGCTGCGATGATCTTAGTTCCAGTCCTTGCCATCTACCTTTGGACTAGAAGAGCCTCTGAGCCAGTTTTCTGGACCCAGCCTCTTATTTCTTTAAAATATCCATTCACTGCCATCAGAGTGTTAGTCTTGAATTACGATTGGGTTTGGTCTCCTCACTGCCCAGAACTAAGTCAGGAGCAGATGGTCCGAAGCCCTTAGCCTGGAGTATACATTTCTCTGGAATTATAATTTGCCTCATCTGCTCTCTTCCCTTGAATCTTCTGTGAAAATGACATTGAAATCCCCACCTCTTCTTGCAGATGGCATCTCTCCCCATGCCCCTGCTGCCTTACTCAGCCTGGAGCTCCTTCCCTACTTCCCTATTTCAGAACCCAATTTGTCCGTCCCCAGCTCAGATGCTGCCTCCCCCTTCCTAAACATCGTCCAATCAGAACTTGCCTTCTGCTTTCCATGACTCTGTACCACGACACTTGTGCGTCATTTGTACTCTGTGTTACTCCAGGCTGGATCACAGGTGACTTTCCATGTATGTCTCCACCCTGAGTGGTCCTTGATGGCAGACACAGAGTCTCCCTGAGCCCCACAATCTGCCTCCCCGCCCCGCCTTACACCTGGCATGTACCATGTACATAGTAGGTTCTTCCTCAGGGTTTCTTGGGATGAAATGAAATTTACAGGAAATCTCCAATTCCACTGGAGTGGGCTGCCATGATTTGCATCCTGTCACTATCTTAGTTATGCTGAGGAAGGAAACTCATTTCTAGTGGAACGAGGCTGCTTGATAAGGGGATGAAGTGGGCATTTGGTGGGTTCCCTTTACCTACTTGATTCTGAGGACAGATCTGAGGATTGAGTGAATTTCACTTCTTTAGAGAGTCCTTCCATGATCTTCCCACCCCAGTCTCAACCATGTGTCCCCTCTGTGCTCCTTTATAAAGTACAAATGCTTGGGAAGAGAGAACATATTTACAAGTGGACACCTATTTACAAGGTTGGTATGTCTGATAGCCAATCAGCACCTGGCTGAGTGATGGTTTGATTGGGAGGCACTTAGCCGTCAGCCCGATTAATCTGGAAACAAGGACGGGACCTCTGGTGCATGTGGGTATCACCGAGCCCAGAAGTAAGGCAGGAGAGAAGTGAGGCTGCAAGACCACATCGTAACCAATGCCAGGATGTGCCCTACACACTGACCTGCCAAAGGGGCAAGTAGGGGCATAAATCTCACCAGTGTGCAGGTCAAGCTTTGCCCACCCAGAAGGGACCCGATGGGCCAGAGGGGGCCTGTCATCCTAACATGCTGCCTCTACTCCATGTTTTCCCTATGGGAGAGAGAAGGTAAAATTAACAATTGGCCCTCTTCCTCCATTTCTCCATGGAGCATCCAAAGATATTGGGTAGATTTCCCTCTGAATCGAGCCTTCCTGCTGTCCCTGCAAGGGTCTGTCTTTCAGGAAGCTTCTCCCTGGGGAGATCTGATTCTGTTCACAGTGCTCCCTCACATAGTGTTTTTGGAAATCGGTATTTTAGCTCACTTTGTCATTCAAAAAGAAACCTTCCTCTTTGCAATACATGGTACTGTTCCAAGTAAAGCTAGAAACTCCGCATTCAGTAAATTTGCTGTCCGGTGACCTTGTTGGGGGTGGGGCTTGACGATTCTATGCCCGAAGTGTCAAGCATATTAAAGCTGCCAGTGACTGTCTCCCTATATGTGCAGCTACCAGGGGCACGGCCGTGACCTCAATGCTCACGCCAACAAGCCAGCAAACACTACTGAGGGCAAGGCCCCTGCACGGAGCCCAAAGCACCGGAGCATCTTCTCTGAGAACTGCTCCCTGGACAGAGACAACTCATCTTGCAAAGGGAGAGCAGACCCCGAACACAGGAGCGCTTCCTGAACTTGACGCCAGGGCCACGGCCACGTGGGGCAGCACCTCCCCCACGCTCCCAGGCTTGGGTAAGAAGCTTTCTCTCCCTTTCCCTCCTGTCCTGTGTCTCCTTCCTATTCCCCCTAGGCTCACATAAATAAAGAAAATCCTTCCTTTCTCCCTTCTCTAGAGACCCCTTTCTTCTTCAGCATTCCTGAATCGACATGAGCTAGTATGGATTCCATACAGACATGAGCTAGTATGGATTCCATACAGACAAGCAAAAGCAGCAAATATCACTGGCATAACGTCCTTCTAACACTCATCTGTAGGACCTTTTATTTTGAAATAATTTAAGACTCGAAAGACGTTGGAGTAGTACAGAAATCTCCCCGATACCCTTCACCCAGCGTTTCCCAATAAGAATATCAATAAGGGGCGCCTGTGTGGCTCAGTCAGTTAAAGGGCTGATTTTGACTCAGGTCATGATCTCACAGTTTGTGGGTTCGAGCCCCGTGTCGTGCTCTGTACTGACAGCCCAGAGCTTGGAGCCTGCTTTTGATTCTGTGTCTCCCTCTCTCTCTCTGCTCCTCCTCCACTCATGCTCTGTCTCTTGAAAATAAAGAAACATTAAAAAAAAAAAAGAATATCAATAAGAATATCTTACATAAGTGAAGTACATTAAAGCATAAGCTATTTTTATTTTGGCAAAGCATTTAGCAATATCTCTCCTGAAATGAACTCTAAATGGTGGAATTTTATGGCAGGTTTAGGTTAATTTGTAGCTGGCTGGACAATGATGACAATGACATTAATGACCTGATGGTGGTGTGGAAAGCTGCCACGGACGGGTCACCAGGGGACTCCTCCTTCCCCACCATCTTTGTGGACATTGTCACTGGTGTTGTCACTAAAGATGAAAAGCCCTGCTCATGCTATTTGGAAATACAATACAACTGAGATAACTTTTTCATTATAAGCCAAAGTGTCTCAGTGAGTCCCGACAAGGGACCAGAGTCACAGGATTCATTCATTCATCCATTCATTCATCAAGACGTGTATTTAATACCAGACTCTAATAAGCTGGCTGTTGAAAACTCAGCTCTGTCAATGTTCCCTTTCGTATCTGAGCTTGCAGACCAGGGAGGGAGACACGGGCAAGTAAACTGATAGTTAGGATCTAAGCTACAAAGAGCTATTGTCCTGAAGAGTCCAGGGAGGAGGCTTCCCAGAGGAGGTGAGAACCGATGGGAGTCAGATGGGCAAGAAAACAAGAACAAGGAAAATTAGTCCCATAGTCAATATCATGACAATTACACATAATTAGAAAGTTTCCCAGAATAATATTTTTAAAAAATGATGTGATGGCCAGTGGCAAGAAAAATGATAAAAGACTTAGCTATAGCTAAGCCTAGCAAGAAAAATTTTATGCAAGAAAAACTATAAAACTTTAGCGGGAGAAATACATGCATATTTAAATAAATGAAGTGATATACAATGTTCTGGATGAGAAATCTAAATATTTTTTAATTTTGTAATTTTTTAAAATGTTTATTTATTTATTGAGGGAGAGACAGGGCAGAGTGCGAGCAGGGGAGGGGCACAGAGGGAGGGAGACACAGGATCTGAAGCAGGCTCCAGGCTCTGAGCTGTCACCACAGAGCCCGACGTGGGGCTCGAACTCACAAACCGCAAGATCATGAGCTGAGCTGAAGTTAGATGTTGAACTGACTGAGCCACCCAGGCACCCAAGGGGTTAGTTTTAAAAACTTGAAAAAAATAATTTTAATCCCTATCATGGAAATGAGCAAGGAGAACTCGCAGCAGTTGTTTAAAAGGCCAGCAAGAGAAGATTGTTTTTCCTCACAATGCCGTGACGTTGTATTGTTATTAGTAGCATTATCATCATCTCCATTTTAATGATAACACCAAAAAAAAAAAAAAAAAAGTGAAGTCACTTGTCCCAGATTTCACAATATGGGGGCGGCAAGTACAGAATTTCCCCTCCAGGTTTCCTCACCTCAAACCCCATCACCTTTCCACTAGATCGTGAGATGAGAAATGTGCTCTTCACTCTGAGAAAGCCCAGGCTTCCCCAAACACACACTTCAGCTGATTGTTTGGATGTTCAAGGGATTTGTGGGTTTCTTTCTTTCTTTCTTTCTTTCTTTCTTTCTTTCTTTCTAGATTTTATTATTATTTTTTTTTTTTGCTGTTTGCAATTTTCTTTATTAACAATAAATGCTTATGTGGGAAACTGACATAATGAGATGTTTTACTTTCTTTTTAAATAGTTTATTGTCAAGTTGGTTTCCATATAACACCTAGTGCTCATCCCAAGTGCCCTCCTCCATGCCCATCTCCCCCCTTTCCCTCCCCCCACATCCATCAGCCCTCAGTTTATTCTCAGCATTCAAGAGTCTCTCATGGTTTGCCTCTCTCCCTTTCCCCCACCATTTCCCCCCTTCTCTCCCCCATGGTCCTCAGTTAAGTTCCTCCTAATCCTCCTATACGTGCAAACATATGGTATCTGTCCTTTTCTGCCTGATTTATTTCGCTCAGCATAACACCCTCAAGGTCCATCCACGTTGCTACACATGGCCAGATTTCATTCTTTCTCATTGCCATGGAGTATTCCATTTATATCTGAATCAAAATGGTCAAGAATTAAAAGTCCCTGTTACTACCTCATGTGCAGCTACCAGGAGGGGGTCCGGGACTCCATGGGTGACCGCCTACAGGCAGGCGTGGACTTCCAACCTACCTGTGCCCTGGGCTCAGACCATGGGTGAGAAAGCACCTGGAGGGCCTCCCTGGGGAACACCGTCCTCCACGCCGACATCTGCAGAGGCCGTGACCATGAGAAGCCTTTCTGGGCCACCTGCTGAGACAGCGGCCACACACAGCAGCAGCTCCCAGGCCAGCCCAGCCTCAGGTGAGAGGGATGCTCACTAAAGTTAGCAGTGTCTGTTTTAAAACATTTTCTAAACTTTTATTTTTGTGTTTTTAAAAGTTTTTATGCCTATTTATTTTTGAGAGAGAGAGAGAGCATGAGTAGGGGAGGGACAGAGAGAGAGGGAGACACAGAATCTGAAACAGGCTCCAGGTTCCGAGCTGTCAGCACAAAGCCTGACGTGGGGCTCGAACTTGTGAACCATGAGATCATGACCTGACCCTAAGTCGGACGCTTAACTAGTCAGTTAACTAGCCACCCAGGTGCCCCACTTTTTCTAAACTTTTAAAATGTAATGCACATACAGAAGAGTTAGCACCATAATTAGTAACCATAAGCTGAACTCTCTCTTCCTTCTCTTTACCCCAACCCTCTTCCTCTCAACTTGAATGAGTGAATGAGTGAATGACTGAATGAATGAATGATGAAAACTCCTTCTTCGCGGGAATCTCCCTCATCTTCTCTCTTTTACGTGCCCACTTTCCAATGTCTTCTTCTCCCTTTTTTCACTGTCCATGAAACAAGTGACCAGTAAAAGCCAACATGGTTCATTCCAGAAAATTCAACTTCCTTTTTTGGTGTAGTATTACTATGTATCAATGTTATTACGTCAATCACATATACATGCTGTATATGCAATGTAAGGTAGTGTATTCATTAATTACATACACATATGTAATTATATATACATTAGTAATGTAATCATTTTTACTATCAGGAAAACCAAAGTTATGACAAAAGCAAGAGAAAAATTATCAACTGTGATCCCAATTTTGCACTTCTAGATACATTTCTAGATGTATCTGTGTATATGGGTATGTAATAAATACACACAGAAAATAGAAGATGGAACAAAGTAAGACTGGAAAAACTTCACAACATATTAACCTTAACCGTATTTGGGAAGTAGATATGATTTTTATTTTTCTTCACTCCACTGGCACGAATTTTCTATATTTTCTACTCCTATAATCAAATACAAAAGTTTTATTATATTTGTTTTTAAAATCACTTCCTCTGGAATCTGCAGCCCGTGGCCCTTCATCCACGCTCACCATAGTGGGTACATCGTAACACTCATCATTGCTGTGTTCAGTATTCATTAACTTGACCTTCCTCCCTCTGGGCCATGCTCTCCTCAAGGGCCTGAGTCTTTAATCTCCAGTTCTCATGAAACACAGCAGGCACTCAGGAAAAATGTGCTGAACTACCTACATTTCTTAAGGAACAGAGGGCATAAATGCAAAGTCTTGACTCTAGGCTCAAAATCTCAATTGCACAAACAGACGTGGGAACGCACGTTTGGCAGCCATAATCGGAGCGGTACCTCCCATGATTGCACAGGAAAACTAAAGGCTAACACGTTTGGTTTGGCTAGCCGGTTGTCAGGATCCAGCACGGCCCTGGGGCGATGCGCTCTAGTCTTTATTTCAGACACAGCAGGGTTGAAATCCTGATTCCACCATCGCTATCTGTCCTCAGGCACTTCTCTTGATCTCTCTGAGGCCTGTTTTTTTTTTTCATCTTCAAAACGGGGGAGGAGATACCTGCTTTCAGAGTGGCTGTGAGGACTGAATCAGGTGGCCGGGGTAAGGTGTTGAGCTCAGCACACAGCACCTTGGAACCACCCAGTGAATGGCAACTCCTACCAACTGGTCCCACGGCACCCACGGCGCAGCATGGCGGCCAACTCATGGAGACCCGCTTCCCAAAGGGCAGAGGCAAACAGGACGCCAGCAGAGCAGAGCCTTTGCCCTGGGTCCCTCTCACCTGTAATCATCGGCAATGCTGCAGTCATTTTGTTCAACTGCAAATAGCAATCACAGACGAGTAAACTCTGAGTTTGGGTTGCAGTGAAAGGTGCTCGGTTTCTAGAACTACATAGAAACACACTCAGGTAGCAAGCATCAGTTGACGCCTTGTGGGTTCAGGGCTTACCGCTGATGAGTCCCGCGCCTGAAGAGGAATCTAAAAATGATGTAGACTCACTTGAAGAAACTGGCAAGACCCCCCCGGTGGAGGTGTGCCTGCTGAGCATAGTCGTCTGTAAGTGCGTGGTGCTGCCCAGCTCGGCCTGGAAGGCTGGGAATCCCCAGCCTCCATTCTCTGCTCGTGTGCCTCTCAGCCTCACCCCTGGTCCACCTCCCTCTCCCTCACCCCCTGCAAGAAGGCCGTGTTGCCAGTTTGACGGCAGGATCTTGAGGGCAAGGATCATGTCCCGAAGTGGCCCTTAACCAGGACTTTAGGAACCCCATCAAGAGGATTGTTGATGTTGAGATGAGCCCGTGCTGGAGCGTGAAGATGCCAGGCGGTTTATAAGGGTGGGGACGGAGTGAGTGTGCGCACGGACTCAGAGGAGGGAAAAGCACATTTGCTTCACCCAGGAGCGGCGATGCTTGGACGCTGCCCGTGCCACGCCCTGCTCTCCTGTCCACTTCATCGTCTCATACCAGTATCAGCGGGTTTCCAATGGCACTCGTTGCCCGTTTCCTCCCCTACCCTGGAAGCGCCTCCTTGCATGCTCTGTTTCCTACTCAGGTCTGCACCCTCACCGCCCTGCAGTGTACCCGGCTTAACAGCCACCATTGGTTGACTAGGGCAGGATCTGTGGCACTGGGCCTCTTCCCCCCCATCGGGCATCCGAGAGTAAATCCAGGCTCAGGGCACCTGGGCGGCTCAGTCAGTTAAGCGTCCGGCTCTTGATCTCAGCTCAGGTCATGATCTCACAGTTCATGGGTTCGAGCCCCGTATTGGGCTCTGCACTGACAGCGCCGAGCCTGCTTGGGATCGTGTCTCTCTCCCCCTCTTTCTGCCCCTCTCCATTCTCTCTTTCTCTCTCTCAAAGTAAATAAACTTTAAAAAAATTACAAACACACAAAACCACAAGCTCACACCTTTCTCATTTCATCCCAGGAACCGTCACCCCTGGCACAGAGACTCCGAATCCAACCAAGGCACCGGCCCCTAGGTCCCCACAGACAGGTAAGGTCGTGCGTCTGGGAAGAGAACCCTGACACCACGTAGCTTCGGGGCAGGGGCTTTGAAGGACAGGGCTGCCCGCAGGCTGACCAAGCTGGTCACTATATTGTACTGGTTCTCACAGGAAAAGGGACAGAGGACTGGTTTGTAAGTCTGGCTTCTTCGTGAAATGGCCCTGTGGTTTGCACAAAGCACTCCCTCTTTCTAGGCTACAGTCTCCCTAGAGATCAGAACTCTTTTTCCTGAAGGCACTATTATTCTCCAGTTGTGTGTAAAGCCCAAGGCCAGTTCATGCTGACTTCTGCAAGGCCATTCTTGCCCCATGCAGGTGACGCCCTTTTGCCCTGGCCAGTGGCCCCTGGAGGAGAGCCCGCCCTGGCCCCGGGGCCCCACCAGGCTTCCAGTACGTTCCAGCAGCCTGACGCTCTGTTGTTTTCCTTTGCTTGGAACGAGGTTGTGTCGTGCAATAAAAAGAGGTCTGGTGGATAAGTTTAGATTCAGGCTGCTGGAATTCCATCCCAGCTCTGCCATTTACTGCTGCGGGGGGCTCCTGCGCTCAGCTTCAGGAATTCAGCATCCTCGGCTGGGAAGTAAGAATAATAACAATTACTGCGGGCACCAAAACTGCCTTTATTCCCCCCGGGTTTTATATTGAGTAAGATAATGTGTGTGGAAGAGATTTGGAACTACAGAGCTCCGCAGAACTTAATCCAATCTACCTTTGTCTAGTGAATGCCTATTGAGCAAGGTGCTGTGTGCTTTCCCAAACAGAGGCTGTTCTTTTAATGAGTCCTATGTCCACGGGGACAGCGGAAGGGGTACAGGATGACTCCAAAATTCAACCCCCATTCGCCGGGCGCAGTGTATGTTTTTGTTCCATCTTAAAGGACACCCTGTCTCCCCCATCCTTGACACTTTAATTTTTATGGAATTCTCAAGGAAACTTCTGTCTGGGGCTTCAAGGCTCGGTTTTTGAGATTCCTCCAAGAGGCTCAGGGCTTCAGTGTCTGGGGTTTGCATGGCTTCTTTCCACTTTTGGATGCCTCCCTCGCTCTCTTCCTTTCTGTTCTGTAAAACAGAAATTGATACAGAGTGAGTCCTTCAAAGCAGGTTGAATCTTCAGGCCCCTCCTACTCCATAGACGCCTTTCTATACTAATTTCCTGAATGTTCCTGGACTATGCGGTCATATGTCAGCAGAGCATTATTAAACTCCTGGAGACCACATGCTCTCTATTTTCATACACCAAAGATCTGCTTCCACCCCCTCCCGACCTGCAGTGAAATGGCCTTTCAGACACAAAGCCACGATGGTACTGGCAAAAGAAATTATAGCCATCTTCCCCCTAGAGGTTCTAAAGAAACACACTATTCGTGGAGATAAGGGCAGTTGTCGGCCTGAGTTTTAGAAAACAAGTTAACTGTTTTTAAAACAATCTGTATTTGGGGCGCCTGGGTGGCTTTGTCGGTTAAGCGTCCGACTTTCGCTTAGGTCATGATCTCACGGTTTGTGGGTTCGAGCCCCGCGTCGGGCTCTGTGCTGACTGCCAGCTCAGAGCCTGGAGCCTGTTTCAGTCTGTCACTCCCTCTCTCTCTCTGACCCTCCCCTGCTCACGCTGTCTCTCTCTCTCTTCTAGAAATAAATAAAAAATTAAAAAAAATAAATAAAACAATCTGTATCTATATCTTTATCTGTATCTATATCTACTTATATAGCTCTATATATCATCTATATATCACCTACCTATCTATCATCTCTCATCTATCTGTCTATCATCTCTCATGTATCTATCTCTGTCTTTCTACCCATCCATCCAACTACCCATCAGATAGGTAATATAAATCTAAGATGCAGTGAATAATTGTTTCCATTCACACACACACACACACACACACACACACACACACACACACACCATGCCACAAAGTCTTCTGAGATTTACTCATTCATCCATGCGATGAATGTTTATTGAACTCCTACTATTTCCCAGGCACCGTGCTAAGCCTATTTTGACTTTTTCTTTTTGCAATAATTCTGCAAGGTAGGTAACGTTACCTTCATCAAGCAATTTCGGTGAACACTACAGATAAAAAGTAACTATATTTTGAGCCTAGATTTGTCTAAATCCAAAGCCTGGGCTCATTCCAACCTTCTAGATACTCTCTCCCAAGATTCTCCATTTGTACAAAATAATCACAGTTTGAGGAAGAAATTGGGAAGGCTCTTTAGAGGAAAAGGGATAAATGCTGTGTGCATGCAGAGAGGAGATTAGCTCCATCTGGAGGAATCGTTCAAGAAGTTTTCACTGATTATGAAAGAGGCATCTGGGACTCCTGGGTGGCTCAGTCGGTAAAGTGTCTGACTCTTGATCTCAACTCAGGTCACGGTCTTACAGTTTGTGAGTTCAAGCACTGCATCAGGCTACGCACTGTTGAGTGTGGAGCCTGCTTGGGATTCTCTCCCTCTCTCTTTCTCTCTCTCTCTCTGTCCCTTCCCTGCTTGCACTCTCTCTCTCAGAATAAATAAATAAACCTAAAAGAAGAAAAAAAAGAAAGAAAGAGGCATTTGAACAAGGCTGCCTCTAAATAAGCATTCTAAGCAGAGGTGCAGCTTATCCAAAGGCAGGAAAGGATGATGTTTTCCAAGGGCTGAGAAATTCCCTGTGGCTGGAGTTCTGATGCTACAGGAAAGAGTGATGAGGAGTGAGGGTGCAGAGGCTGGCAAGGGGGAAGTCCCCAGGGCCACAGAAGACGTGTGGACCTCTCGTCAGACAAGTGGAAGGGACATGGTCAGATTTGTGGTGCAGAAAGTTTTCTCTGGCTGCGGAGTGGAGGCTTAAGAGGGGAGGAGAGGAGCAGCGTTACTGGTGAGGAGACTCGTACTAACCACAGCCAGAGATGACGGGAGCTGGAGCTGGGGGCTGGTTGTGTGCAATCAGAGACTCGAGTGGTGTTCAAGAGACAGATCCAAGAGGGTGTGATTATGGTAGAGGATCACCGGGAGGTAACCAAACATCAGTCCCCAGTTCGCACTACTGAGCAGCAAAGACCAATTCCTGAGATGGAGAAGCATGGGAGAGGCTGGGGGGCGGGACATGGATATTGAGCATCAGGAACGTTAAGGATGTTCAAGCCATAAAGTGTGGTGGTTGTGAGCAGAGGCTCCAGACTCAGGTCATGCCAAAGTCACTAACTACTGTGTAACTAATCAAATTGCAGAATCATTCAGACCCTCAGTGTCCTCTTCTATAAAACAGTACTTCTGATATCTACATTACATGTTTTTATGAGGATTGAATGACATAATGTAGGTACAGAACTTAGGTAAGTACCTGATACACAGCACGTGCTCAGTAAGTCAAGGCAAAAAGTCATAGCCTCGTTACAAAAATTGATAAGTGTTCTGGAGAGTTGACTGTTCTTTTTTTAAAATTGTTTTTAATGTTTATTTATTTCTTGAGAGAGAGCACGAGCAGGGGAGGAGAAGAGAGAGAGGGAGACACAGAATCTGAAGCAGGCTTCAGGCTCTGAGCTGTCAGCACAGAGCCCGATGCGGGGCTCGAACTCATGAACCGTGAAATCATGACCTGAGCTGAAGTCAGACACTTAACCGATGAGCCACCCAAGCACCCCAAGGGTTGACTGTTCTGACTCAGGATAAAATTCAAAATACAATTCCTTCCTACATTTTTAATGAAATCTCTTTCTAACATTGTAAGCCCTGTTTCCACTTTAATAAATATATAACTGATAGATGAGTGGATAAAGAAGATGTTGTATACATATACAATAGAGTATTAGCCATAAAAAGAATGAAATCTTGCCCTTTGCAACAACACGGATGGAGCTACGGAGTATAATGCTAAGTGAAATTAAGTCAGAGAAAGACAAATACCATATGATTTCACTCTTATATGGAATTTAAGAGTCAAAACAAACAAGCAAGGGAAAACAAAACAGAGGGAGAGCAAGAGAAGGCAGGGGGAGAGAGGGAGAGAGAGAAACCAAGAAACAAACTCTTAACTATAGAGGACAAACAGATGATTACCAGAGGGGCAGTGGGTAGGGAATGAGAGAAACAGGTGATGGGGATTAAGACTACACTTATCTTGATGAACACTGAGTAATGTGTGAAATTGTTGAATTATTATATTGTACACCTGAGACTAATATAACACTGTTAACTACACTGGAATTAAAAATAAAAATCAAAAAATATATCTATAAACCTGCTAAATTATAATTTTCAAAAAGGTAAAAACATGACTCATAAAAATAGGAAATGAACGCATGTCAGAGATATTATTCAACCATTAGTTAATGAATTAATTAAGATTCGTTCAACAGAGAGTTTGAAGAACAGGGATTTTTATAGTCGGTCCTAGGAATTTAGAAATAAATTTGCTAATAGATATCCTACAGCAATAAATTCTTTGTTTTTTACTAGACAAAAATCAATTGCACCTTTACCACACAAAATTCATTTACATTGCTTATGGAAAGGAATTATTTGCATTCCTCTCACACACAAGTCATTCACATTGCTATCAGTTAACCTCTTCAGAGTTGTAAAAACTTACTCAATAAATCAATCAAAGGCACGTACTTTTACATAACCAGATAATCCCCACAGAGTCTGCTGGACAATACCCAGAACTCATTTCCGGGTTTTAAATCACTTTTCTGGATAATAACTAATGACGCTTCATTGGAAGATTATGATCAATATCCTAATATAACCTTTAAATCACTAGAAGGTGAGCTCTGTAAGAGAAAGCCTCTTTTCCTTCTTATTTATTGTTGTATCTCTTGTGTCTATTACTGCCCAGCATGTAGTGAATGCTTAATGCATTTTTAATCCGTCAATAATAATTGCTATTATTTATTGTATATTCCATACCAGGAACTTTGCAAGATGCTTTGTGTAAATCTTCTCATTTCATCCTGCTGATCACCACCTGGTAACATATACCCATGCACGTGTACACAGTCACACACACAGGTGCATACATATGCCCTCATCCCCATGCAAAACACCTATACCCATGCCTGCACACACTCACACACGTGCACACACACATACTGACACCCCGTACCCACTGCACCATCAAATTATTCTCCATTTCCCTATCAGCAAACCATCCCCTTCCATGATATGAGTCACCATATCATCTACCTCTCACACTAGAAATGCCTCCACCTGATCCATTTTTGTTTAATGCTTTAGATCCCTTTTTAATATTTGCTCTCAGTTGGCCTTCTCCACCTGTCTCTTGCATTCTCACCACGGCTCTTCTGGGCACTGATGAAGCTACGCTGTGTGACCTGTCTGTCTCAGAGCCACCTGAGGTCAGGGGAGACGCTATCCACTAAGCACAGACAGAGGGAGGAGGCTTGCTAAACCCTTGCTGATTGCAGTGGTCTGGGGTTGCATCTTCCAGGGTGTCCTCAGCTGCTCCTTGAAGAGGGGGCCGTCACAGCTGCCCCCCTCACCTCGGCCATCCACAAGCTCAAACCTTGCCTGATGGAGCTGTGTCGCTTTTTCCAGCAATGCCTCTGTGTGACCCAGAAGAGAGACCCCGGATTGGAGGCCACGAGGTAACCTGAGCCAGTTGCTGCTTTTCCCAGTCGGTATTTAGAGGCTACTCATGCTGTGTGGCTGCTCTGCTGGCCACGGGTTGACCAGGTGGAGACAGGTGACTGGGGGTACATCAGGGAATCAGCTGTCCAGTGAGTCTTCTACGGGATCCTCACTTCCTTGGTAGCCAGGATAGAACCTCATTCATTCCTGGGTCCTCAGAACTCAGTGCAGGACTTGACATTGCAAAGGCATCTGAGTTGAGTCAAGTCAAGCTGAGTCACACCTGGTGGAATGATTACATAGGACTTCGAGGGGTCCTGGAGTCCCCAGGGCCTCAGCCTGGTGAGATTTGCCAGAATAGTCAGAGAGTCTGTTGTATATAAAAGCCACATCTTCTTTATTCATTCATCAGTTGATGTGGTTTATATATACATTGGAATACTACCAGGCAATGAGAAAGAATGAAATCTCGCCATTTGCAATAATGTGGATGGAACTGGAGGGTATTATGCTGAGTGAAATAAGTCCGTCAGAGAGACAGATATGATAATGTTTTCACTCACATGTGGAGCTTGAGAAACTTAACAGAAGACCAAGTGGGAAGGGAAGGTGAAAAAAATAGTTACAAACAGAGAGGGAGGGAGGCAAACCATAAGAGATTCTTAAATACAGAGAACGAACTGAAGGTTGTTGGGGGTGGGTGGGGGAGAGGGGAAAATGGGTGATGGGCATTGAGGGGGGCACTTGTTGGGATGAGCACCAGGTGTTGTATGTAAGCGATGAATCATAGGAATCTACCCCCAAAACCAGGAACACACTTACACACTGTATGTTAGCTACCTTGGCAATAAATTGTCTTTCAAAAATAATAATAATAAAAGATGTATTGTCTTTAAAAAAAAAACAAAGAAGAGAATAGTCAGAGGGTATGTCCATCTTAATTCCGGATCTTTCTATATCCCTAGCAGCCATCTGCTGGCCAAATGTGAAGATTGTAAAAAGAAATTGAGAAGGCAGACCCTGCTTCATATTAGAAGTTCTAGGTGTGGACATCTTCTCGCCCTTGATGATGACATTCTACCCCTTCTTCTGGCGTTTATTCTTGGTTGTAAATCCAGAACCACACAAACATGGCTAAATACTTCTGCTCCGGTGGTCTGGGGCCAATCTCTCAGATCTTTAATGTTACTTTCCAAGTCCACTCATGACCCTCCAGCATTTCAAATCTCCGTCACCCACTGGCTCTGAACCCTGTCCGGGTTTGTAGCCTGTTTTTGCTGTGTCCTTGCCTTGAATCCCTTAATCCGTGTGGATGCTTCCTCCATCCGGAGAGGGAGAGAGACGCAGAATCAGAAGCAGGCTCCAGGCTCCGAGCTGTCAACACAGAACCCGATGTGGGGTTCGAACTCACAGACCATGAGATCATGACCTGAGCCGTAGTCAGGTGCTTAACCAACTGAGCCACTAGGTGCCCATGTTTTGGAAGCTTTCCAAGCAAGCAATTTGTGGCTATTAGAAGAAAACCTTGTCACGCTTGCACACTGCCAAGCTAGCTGAGTGGGGGAAGGATTCAGCCACAGAGCCAGGCCCTCAAAGCTAGTAGGTAGGTTAGTGTGCTGTATGGAGGGGTGGGGTTGAAACCAAGCAGAACCTAGGTTTAAATTTAGGCGCTGCCACTTATAAGCTAGGTAGGCTTGTCATTTAATCTCTCTGAGCCTCAGTGTGTTTCCCCACAAAATGGGGGTGGCCTCATCAGAATAGCACTGTGTTCTGGCATGAAACGGATCACCTGGGTAAAAACCCACCCTGTCTCTTGTGAGCAGTGTGTCCTCAGGCAAATCAGTTCATCTCTGTGCCCTAGTTTCCTCCGTCTCTCAGGTGTGCTATAAATTGAGGGTGATGGAGCCCTGGAAATCTTTACAAGAGGCTTTACTTGAGCAGTTAGTTGTTCCCCAAGGAATGCCGGAATCACAGAACGATGGGAGAGAAAGTAGAAGCTGGTTGGCCCCGCCTCCTGATGTAGCCCAGGAGGGATTGACAGGGCAGCATATTCCGGAGCCCCGCGGTGAGCCAGCAGCACAGTCTGCACCAAAAGCTCTTCTTCCTAGTAATGTTCTCAGTGCTCCTTCCCTTAAGTGCTTTGAAGAGATCTCTGAAGCCCCAGCAGAGAGTAGGATACTATCTTGTAAGGACTTGATGCCTTGTTTTAACAGTAACAGCCCTGCGCTCTCCCCCCACCTCACCCCAAAAATACATAAATGAACATCGTCATTTGCTGAGCACCTGTTGCAACCCTGGTCCTGCTCAGAAACTGGGCAAATGTTATTTCACTTAATCCCTGTGATACCAGGTGAGCGTAGGTGCTATTATGGCCTCTTGTAAGTATATGAAAAAAACAAGGCCCACGGAATTGAGTCTAGGAAGCGATGATGCCAAGACTAAAAATACATCATTTTCACTCTGGAGTCTAAGCTTGGTCCCTACTCAGGCTCATCCTCTGCCCCTCCCCCCACATCCTTTAAAGATGGAAAGGGGGTTCTTGCTGTGAATAATTGGTCGCTATGACATTTTTTAAAAAATTTTGAGTAGAGGAGGGATTGGACAGAGGGCAGAGAGAGAGAGAGAGGGAGAGAGAGAATCCCAAGCAGGCTCCATACTCAGTGCAGAGCCCAACATGGGGCTCGATCTCACAACCATGAGATCATGACCTGAGCAGAAATCAAGAGTCAGACGCACAACTGACTGAGCCACCCAGGCGCCTGTGATTTTTTAAATTATGCTTGTCTTCCACTAGCCAAAAAGGGATGGTGATTGCTTTCCACTCTAATTGGAATCTTCAGGTACTGTCTTGAATACTATTCCTGGTTTCTGAAAAATGCAACATACATCTGTCAGAGGATGAAAAGGGTGCCCCACTCACACAGTAAGTATGCACTTGACCTTGTTGTAAGTTGGCAATAAATGCCTTCTCTGAAGGAGCTCTAGAATTCAGTGATTGTCCTATCTTCGTCAGGGGCCAAAAAGAGCAGGTGCAGCTCAGGTAGTCATCATTAATCTAGACAAAAAGAGTCGAGGGTATTTCTGATTCCTCTTTGCCTAACACTGTGATGTTTGCAGTTAGGTATGGGGGTGGGGGCAGGAGTCAGCCCAGCCAAGCACTATTGCTTTCTATGTGATCTCAGACAAGTGTCTCATCCTCCCTGACTCCTGTATAAGCTAAAAATACACATGCACAAAGAAGAATCAAACAAAACAGACCCCATGTGAACACTGAAATCCCTGACCAAAGCAAAATGAGTAGAAATAATCCAAGAATAAGAAGGCAGCCTGAGGGGCTAGAAGTGGGGTGTGTGGTACCCCTCTCCTGGTCTTTGGTGGCATCAAAGCCGCATTTACTCCCAGAGAGGCCAGACATGAGCTGTTTCCCCTCTTGCTCCTGCACACAAAAGCGGCTGATCTGACACATCTGGTCTCCCAGCTTATGGTTTGGCCATTAGCTGGACTATCAGTCAAAGGATAGTCTTGCCTTCTAAAACTCATGGAACTATAAGGAACTTACATCGCCTTTATTCTGCAGCATAAGAGCCAAGCATCTGGGGTGGAGGTAGGGTGCGATGGGGCTGGGAAGCTCAGCAGTCCAAGACAGAAATTCCTTTACCAGGGATGGGGGGGCGGGCAGAAAATCTTGCTAGCTACTTACCACTGAATAGCTCTTCTTTTGTCCTTGCCGCATTAAAATCTTCACACAAACAACATATTACATCTACGGAATGACACATTAATGACCTTAGAGTTGCTTTATGCAAACTGGGGAGATGAGGTAGACATAGCTGGGGAACTGGAAGCCATCACATCACTGGGCGTGGAGTGGCGGCTTGAGAGCTGGCCCCTTCTCCACTTAGCTGCCAACCAGCAGGGTTCTTGCCACACCCTTCCTCTCTGACATGGACTCCTGAGTCCCCATCCACTGCACTGTTACACCCTCACCTCTTCCCAAGGGAGGAGCGGGGGCCCTTGCTGTTGGCGATGCAGTGTTTCTTTCTTTCTCAGTACCTTGAATTCCCTCTTCCTTTTCTCTTCCAGCCTTAAAACAAAAATGCCTCTGGAATATCTGCCGGTCTGTGTGAGGCCTTGAAAGGATGATGGGACCTAGAAATAAAGAGACGGCATCCTTTTTCTCTGGCCCCTGGCCCGAGTTGGCTGGATTTGAAAAATTCACCAGGCTCCAGCTAGATCATCAATGAACTGAAAGAGGTTCTCTGGGGAAGTAGCAATTCTTTCCCTCTTGTGAACACTGCAAAGGTGGAAGACCAAGTGTTAGAGGCTGCACAGAACCCAAATCCATGGTCAAAAACCCCCTGCGATGCTTAGAGTGATCCTGAGATGGGAGAAATGGGTTGAGGGGTGTCACGCTAGCAAGAACAAATGAGTCCAGGCACTGAGACTCTGACACAGTATCCAGAGTGACCTACACTTGGGCTTTTAGGAAGACAACAAGGTAGATAAAGAAAGGTGAGCCCATGCCCTGGAGAGAGTCACATAGGATTTCTCTACACCGTGAACCTGCACTTGGTTATATACAAGTAATCAGACTTGCTGACCATGGGACTCCAATAATCCCCCAAGCTTCCTAAATAGCAGGGGAGGAGAACCTTCCTTTGGGGGAGTGTACAGAGTTGTGACTTTCCTGCTGTTGAGGTCTTGTCTTGATTTCTCATCTGTGGGTCCCACTGTGTTTGGGGGTCTCAGGTTCCATGACTCACTAACAGGATTCACAGAGCTAGAACAGCTTTCATACTCATATTTACTTATTACAGCAAAGGGCTAGAGATCGAAGTCAGCAAAGGTCAAAGGTACAGAAGACAGGGCTGGGGAGAGCCCGGACATTAGCCTCCAGTTGTGCTCTCTGGTGAAGCCGAACGGGCAGCATGTAATCCTTCCAGCAACGACATGTGACCACATGTAGGGAGTATCATTGCCCAGAAAAGCTCATCTGAGCCATGGAGTCCAGGGTTTTAATTGGGGATCAGCCTATATGCATGAAGCACCTGCACTGGCTGGCCTCACTTACTCAGCCTCCAGGCTCTCCACAGGTCAAGCCGACACAGCATGACCCAAGAACCCCGCCATAAATTCTGTTGTTACATTGGACTATCTGGTGTGACCCAAGGCCCCACTTGTCGGGCAAGGGTTCACAGGTTAACTCCCAGGAGCTGTTCAAGGGCTGGACTTCTCTTTGGAAGATGCGGGGACCAAATGCTGTAGCCCCTCTGAGTCAACCGTTTCCCACATACCCACGGGCTAAGGTGTCCCTTTATCGGTTCAGGTCTCTTTAACTTTCCCCAAGGCTGCAGTAGCTCCAAACACCCCTGTGAAGGCCAAGTCCCCATGCAAAGCATTATGGAGTAGACATGCTCTTTCCAACGGCCCCGTGTGGACCCCATTGTCCCTCACTGTTCTGCCTGGAGCTCTCGCTCTAGTCTCTCACGTTAGCACCCTGCCTGGGCATTAGTGTCCCACCCTCAGTGACCCATTCCTGCCCTGTGGTGAGAAAAGTCACTCCATTCACAGTCCACGTAGAAACGATTTCCTTCCATCGGTAGACACTCGAGTGTCCTTGCTCTGATGACCTGTGAACACCAAGGCTCTTAGAAAGGTACAGCTTGAACTTTGGGGAGAGAAGCAGCCAGACACTTCCCTCCTCTGATCACACACAGCAAGATTTATTTTTAACCTCTAGAACACTTGAGAGGCCCTCAAAGTTATGCAGATTTCAGGCTCATGAACTACACCTGCTGTCACGACTCTGGGGGCCTGCAAAGGGCCCCCTCCTTTGCAAAGCTGAGGAAGACACAGTAAATCTGCTGGGGCAAAGGGACCCGACCTGGGTAGGAACCAAGAAATGAGCATGATTCAGCAGGTGTGGGTTAATCTGACCAGACCCCATCAAATGGATAAAGTTGATATTCTTAACCAAAGATCTTAGGCAGGAAAGGCTCCCAGAGGTTCCCTCAAAGAGTAATTTATCATCAGAGAAGGTGGGACTGATGACTTGGTCCCAATGCCCTGGCTCTTCTTTTGGGGGGGAGCCGGGGTGTGCCCAGCCATCCCACATCTTGGGGATTATGACTGAACATGACTAACATTTAAAGTTTATTTATTTTGGGAAAGAAGGAGAGCACACAAGCAGTGGTGGGGCAGAGAAAGAGGGAGAGAGAGAGAATCCTAAGAAGGCTCTGCACTAATAGTGGGGCTTGAACTCACAAACCATGAGATCATGATATGAGCCAAAATCAAGAGTCAGACACTTAGCTGACTGAGCCACCCAGGTGCCCCATGAGCATAACTTAGAAAAGCCCACGTGTATGGCCCTTGCAGGGATCTGAACTTGCAGCAAAGACAAAGGCTCAGAGGACCACACAGGACCAATTTTCTAGGGTCACACCCTCTGCCACAACAGCAGCGATGACAGGAGCAAAGCAAGACCCCCGAGCAAACTGACCAGAGCCTAGAGCCCATGGCCTCTTCGAGGCTAAGAGGAGGTTTGAACCCCCCCACCCTGAGTTGAATAAGTCCTGATTTGGGGGATGCTTAGGGCGATGAGGAGGCTTCGGAGGGCGCTGCCACACTAGAGTTCTTAATAACTTGTGCATATATGGTCACCAAGTGTTCACGGATGAGATAAAAAAGATGGGACCCTTCCTGTCTGCCAGCTGATGAGGAGTTACAGGTATAACGTCAGTAATATCACGAAGCAGGATTCTTTCCAGAGGCAAAGGCGCAGGTGCATTTCTGTCTGTTTCATTCACGCCCAAGCAAACTCGTATTCGTGAGTACAGGCTCAACAGGCCGGAGACAGGGAAGAGGTGAAGGGAGGGGGAGGGAAGGGGAAGGGAGGAATCTCGGCTCTGAGCTCTGCAGCCTATCAACTTAAGACTGTAGACTCAAGGCGTCTTCTGTGCTGGTGGGAAAGGATTGGGGTGGCTTCATTCATCGTCAGGGCTACTGAGACACTGAACAGTAACCAATGATCTATAAACAAATCTTCAAGGCCCAAGAGCAACTCATGATCTGCAGAAGCCCTCCGGTGGGTTCCGCCAAGGCACAGCCCCCCAGAGTCAATCGTCAGACGAGCCCCTGGGCCCCAGCAGCCAGTGTTAGGTGAGCAGCTCGAAGGACTCTCACTGGGCTAACCTGTCCCCCGAGAATGATCCCATCACCATGAGCTCGGGCAGACACTCTCTCTGCGACACGGGCTGCCTGGCCTGGGAAGCGGAGTCCCTGCCATCGTGACCATCCTGAGAGCAGGGTTAGCCAGGGTCAGCTGCTGTGGAGCTGTCGTGGAAACAAAAATCCCATAAAAACATAGGCGGCACATAAGAGGGCTCAATAAAGTCTCGTTCTCCTTCTTAAGGGGGGTTATCCCCACGAGATGTCTGCGAGATGCCCGGGAGAGCCACATCCCAGCAGCCACAGGTCACTGTCCCACTGAGGAGGCAGGGCTGGTATTCGATCCTAGCATGTCTGATTAGAAAGCCCCATCTCACCCCACCCCACAGCCGGGGCAGGAAACCCTTTAAGGAAAGAGGTATCACATTCCCAGGCTATGAGGCCAGGAACATATAAGAAGAACCCTCCCCACCTCCCCACCCCCGCCCCCAGAGATGCTCTTGCTGGAGAATTAACTAGATGAGACAAAGCCAGCCCTTCTTTTGCAGGAGAGCCCATGTGACTTTCGTCAGTCTCTCATCCCCAGAGTCCCTCTGGTGACCCCAAGACACAATCCCTGGGCCTCCAGGCCTGGCAGGTGAGGTGCGGGGTGGGGAACAGGGGAGCCATTGTTCTCTGAGCAGAGCCTGGGTCTCCTCCGGGGCCTGAGATGGGCCTCTTAATATGGGGCCTCACCTGCTCCACGCATAGTTATGATGTCCCCCTCCCCCTCAGAGGCCTCCCACCTGCCAACCTGCTCGGAAAGCTGTCCGCTCCCTGTGAGGAGCAGGGAGGAGGGACCACGTGACTAAGGGTCTTCCCTTGGGGTATAAAGGACTCAGTCACCATCTTGTTCAGAGTCGAGCATCGTGCACCCAACTGCTTCTAAGTGGGACCTTCAAGGTACGCACCGCCTTTCTCCTGAGGGGTAGGGAGCCCGCAAGGGCGGGAGGAAGGGACGGAGAGAAAAGGAAGAGGGGGCTGTGGGGGGAGGGAGAAATGGATGGCAGAAGAGGGGGGGGAAGGGGGAGCTCACCAGGGGTGCCCAGGACGTAGCTAGGCAGCAGTCACTCGGAGCCCTTGTACGTGCAAGGAGATGCAATACCAGAGTGGCAGAGCTTGCTGAAGGCGCCTGGGGAAACCGCGGCACGCCGGTGAGGGTCTTGCAAACCTGTGTGCACCCGCGTGGAAAGGTAGTGATCATTAGTTACCAGTCTGCCTTGCTGAGCCCTTGGTCCATGCCAGGCACGGTGCCCCATGCCCCTCATGATGCCCGGATGAAGAACCACCTTACGGGCATTTGAGTGCCCAGGAAAACGAACTCCGAGCAGCTTCAGGGCCTGGATCAGGGCGCTCAGTATGTATCAGGCCGAGCCCACCCCAGGCCTGGCCAGCTAGAAAGGCCTTGGTCTTAGTCACTTCCCAGGGTGCCTTGGAATAGGTCATCAGGAGACAACTTGGCAAGCCAGGACCCAAGGCAAGGGAGCCCTCATTTCCCCAAGGACAGCAAGCGGTCACTGTCATCCCTGGAGGCGTCCTTGGGTAAATGAGGAAGAGGCAGCCCTTCCTGGAGGAGGACAGAGCCCCACACCCAAGGCACGTGGCTTGGCCAACGGAGGGCTGCTGATTTCAGCAGTGGCCCTGCACCATCCCATCAGCACAACGAATGTGCATGCCCCACATTCGGGTCCCCCTCCCCGTGGCTCAGGGCTGAGCGTGTGCGTCACCTCTGGCTGGCACTCGGGTTTCCCTTGCTTGGCTCTCAGCTTGCGAGTGTCAACCGCAGGGTCACACCACACTCCAGCCAGTGGCTGGCTGCTCTGAGGACCTCCCAAGCAGGTGTTACCGGAAGTCATGACAGCAGTGCCATGAATGATTGCAAGGCTGCCTGTCTGGGATCCCATGATCAGGATGGCAGTGTTGGGTGGGTGACACATGTGGAGCAAAGATGTACTGAGTATTGTGACTGGTGCTGGCATCCCTGCAGCAGTGACACTTGGCAAAGGTAACCATGGCCTCACTGGCCCTCTGTGAGCCTCAGGTCCCTGCATGGAAAGTGAGGTGAGGGGCGCCTCAGTAGGTTGAGTGTCTGACGTCGGCTCAGATCATGATCTCATGGTTCGTGGGTTTGATCCTCCAATAGGGCTCTGTGCTGACAGCCCAGAGCCTGTTCTGGATCCTCTATCCCTCTCTCTCTGCCCCTCCCCTGCTGGCTCTCTCTTTTAAAAATAAGTAAGACATTTGAAAAAAAAAAAAAAAAAAGAAAGAAAGAAAGAAAGTGGGGCATGTGCTAGTCAAAGTCCTTATGTGCCCGTCTAAGGCACATGCTTGGCAGGGTGCCTGACACAAAGAATGACCCAGTAATGGAAGGTAGTGTTTAAAGGAATGAGGTCCACGGGGTGCCCGGCTGGCTGAGTCAGAGCATGTGCCTCTGGATCTCAAGACCATGAGTTCAAGCCACCCCCCGCCATTGTGAGTAGAGCCTACTTATAAATAAATAAATAAATAAAGGGATAAGGTCCTAAAGTTTATAACTTACTTCGCTTCTAATTGTGGTAAAATACACACAACCTCAATTTACCACTTTAACCATTTTTAAGCGCAGAGCTCAGTAGTGTTAAGTAGCTTCACACTGCCATGCGACCATCACTGCCATCCGTCTCCAGAACTTTCTCGCCTTCCCCACCTGAAACCCTGTGCCCAGTAAACAACGACTCCCTATCCTCCCTCCCTCCTTTAAAAAAACACATCAGGACTAAGTCGAGATTTGGTCTGTAATAAGGTCACTTTTGCTCCATTCCATTCTAACAAACACATGTTTGAAAATCCAGTAGGGGTATTTGTAATTCCAATAAGCATCAGCCGTGGCCTGTCTTCTCTGAGCATGGGGACAGCCCAAGGGAATTGCCTTCCGGAAGTGAGTGCCATCGGAACAGAAGAGCAGCGTCCACTGCATGAAACTGACCACTTGCCTTCATTTCATCAGATGGGGGAAAGGGGGGCTCACACAGGGCAGAGAGGCCTTTATTGTAAGAGTTACTCGTTCTGGAGCCCTCCCTGTGGGCTGGACACAGCGGCTGTAATTCCTAACGTTTCCGAGCCACCTATCTCCGTCAGACACTATTGTGGGTGTCCCGAGTGGATGAGCTTATCCAGCCTCACAATAGCCTCAGAAGTACTACTGTCATTGTGACGAGCTCTGGAGCTGGCAAGTGGGACATTTTGATTGTAAGGTGCCAGTCTCAGGGGCTCAGTGATCTCATCTGTAAAATGAGTTTGAACAAGATGAATCCAATGCCTGCTCCAAGCTCAGACTGTAGCAAGATTCTCACCCAGAGAATCGTGACGCCAAGGCTTTTTTTTTTCTCCCCAGGAAACAACTTTATTTGTGCCGGCACGGCTCAGTTGGGTCAGTACCCAAGGAACTGAGCCCAGAACGCCACGTGACACCGTTTGTTATATATGTTCTACTTCCTTGTCTCCCATATATAGTAACACACAAACATGCCGTCTGATTAAGTGGTCTCAGGTTACAAGGTTGTGAGGGATGTCATCCTGTATGCATATAGCCAGGTGGCCTTGAGGACTTTTTTTTTTCTTTCCTTAGGGAGGGGGCCCTAGCGCAAGACCTCATAGCTCCTTGTGGTGGCAGGGATAGCAAATGTACTGGGTGATGGCATCAGCCTCAGTCTTGAGGGTATGACTTCAGTGGGTATAACTTTCCAGAATGCCTTCCACCGTTCACCCACGGAGTTTCCTCCTGGAGACCTCCCAGGCCTCCTCCTGAAGTTTTAGTCTGGTTTCTTGGCCTTGACAAGGACCATTCAGGTCCAAATCACCGCAGAACGATCAGAGAGCTGATCTATCCTGTAACGCTAACCTGGTGTAGGAATTTGTGTGGCTACAGAAGGTTAAAGCAGTGCATTCTGTCCATCAGATCATAACCAGAGTCTTTTTTTTTTTAATGTTTTATTTATTTCTAGGAGAGAGAGAGAGAGAGAGTGAGCAGGGGAGGGTCAGAGAGAGAGGGAGTCACAGACCGAAACAGGCTCCAGGCTCTGAGCTGGCAGTCAGCACAGAGCCGGACACGGGGCCTGAACCCACGAACCGTGAGATCATGACCTAAGCGAAAGTCGGACGCTTAACTGACTAAGCCACCCAGGCACCCCAGATCATAACCAGAGTCTTAGAAGATGATTGAGCTGAGTGGACATCTCCAAGGACTCACATTCTGCCCTCTGCACTTGTTCAACAAACATTTATTCTGTAGCCACTAGAGGCTATGCCCGGCCCCGGGGCAGGTCCACAGAGTAAGGATCCTATGACCAACAAACATTTTCTCCTTTGGGACACCTTCAACGAAACGAATCCCTGCCCACAAGGCAGAGTGGCCCACCATGGCCCTGGGTCCATTCGCAGGGCCACCAGGACATGGTCTCTGGGAGAACAAACTGTAGAAAGGGCTCCTTCCTCCAGGTTGATGCAGCCCTGCAGAGGGCAAACCAAACTTGGGAGTTGAGCACTGGCTGCATTTCAGCCCCTGTGTGCCCCTCAGTGCAACACCTTTGCACACTACGCAACATGTACAACCTTGTCCAGCAGCCATGTGGGTGCCTCTGGGGTAGCATGATCACACTGCATTATCATACTCTGTTCTATGCATAAGTCAACCATCCGACATTCTTTAAAGAGTTACATTCCCAGGGAGCTAAAACTATTCTAAAATCCCTCTGCTCTTTAAGGTCTTTCCTTCCCCAGTAAATACATGGTTGACCTGTTTGACCACACTAAGTGCCTACTGAGGTAATATTTGCTGAGTTGCTCAGATCACAGGGTGGTATGATTGAAATGCGGTCAGTTCTTGGAATCTGCCCCCTTGCCACGACCCTTCATGGCAGTCCCTGAAGCATTGTCTCTTGCTAGGACAGCAACCAAATATTCAAATTGCTCAGAAGCCATAGGAAAGGAAGGAAGAAAGATGGAGGCCCCCCACCCCTACGCCGAGGAAAGCACTGTTTGTTAGCGGGCAGCACCACCATGTGGTTGCCAAATGTATTCCTATGTCAAGTGATGGTAGAAAGGTTCAAAGTCAGACTGCTGAAGGTATCTACTGAAGGTATATTGGGCTATAGGCCAATGTATGGGTTCTTTACAGTTCCGTCTACAAAGTCGAACTATAGCACTGTCCAACTGCCTCCCTTCCCCATTATTCTGTGAACAACTCACAGGTAAGGAGTGATTTTCCCTCACTTTGCATTCTGGGATCCTTGCGATGTGCCCAATGCACATTAATAAAAGACCATGGGGAAAATGAATAAATGAGACCAGATCTGGGGGCCTCAAGGAGCCCTGGTGAAGTTTCCGTTTTACAGAGGGATGAGCTGAATCTCAGATAGAGAAGGCGATCTCCTGAATGTCATGAGTCAACGCTGGTTAGTGGCGAAGCTGGGACAGAAACCCTTCTAGGGCTTTCTCTGACTACCTCAATGCGCTATGGGACAAAGAGCTCGTGGGCGTTGGTATTTCCCAGGATTCCGACAGCGTACTCATCACATTCCACCTACTTCTCTCCCAGGAGGCTGTTCCATTGGATTCCTCAGCCCCATCCTCTGCCCTTGAACTATGCTCTTGTTTTTCCTGCTGAGTATGCTGATGGCCCCTCACAGTGGTGAGTAATGGTATTTTTCGCCGAATATTCTGGCTTGCTATATAATGAATATGAGCACTGGGGAGTGTTGTCAAATGTCATCTGATTTGCTTATTACTACTTTTATCCCCTTGCCTAGAAGGGATGGAAATCAAACAGTAATGACAAGCTACAGGTTTCATTCAGCTGATGTTTTGAGGACCTTGCCCGGGACACGAAGTGGGATGGGCCATGAGGGGGAGATCCAGGGAGAGCAGAAAGCAGAGTGACCACTTGGCAACCATTCCTCCCCTTGATGGGACATCTCCTCTTGCCTTTGCTCACCAGCCGCTGTCCCGTGTTTCGCGGGTTTCCTCGGAGTGTGTCAGTCTTCTTGACATGGGGTAGGGTGCACCTCTGTGTAGGTGTGTCTGCTGCAAAGGCAAACACTTCCACCCCGCACTGGGGGGGTCCCACACCACCAAGCTTAAAGGCAGTCACTTCAAGTTCATGCAAAGTTGTGGTGACGAACCTGAGCCTTCTGACTCCCTCCTACTTTCTTTCTTGTTTGCACATCGGTGCAGCTGTTCAAATCCCTCAACTTACTTCTTTCTTTCCTTTTCCTTTCCTTCATTTTCTCCTTTCCCTCCAAGTTCAGGTACACTTGGGACTAACAGGCTGAGCCTCCCTCTCTAAGTTTCCCTTCCAAACATGATCGTGATGGTGTCCACATTATTGATAATTTATCCTGACCATGACCCGAGCTAGTCAACTCGCAGAGATCTGCATGTTCCCCGGAAATTGGTGAGCACCAGTTACATACAGGGAAAAGGACTCCAAATCTCTCCTTCAGGTCTGGCTGCTCCCCAGCTGTGCCCCAGAGCTTCCCTGCAAGACAGGGGGGACACCCACTTCCAGAAGTTGATGGGCTCCTATTGATTATTTAGCTCCTTCGTGGATGACTTTTTTCCTCATTAAAACCATTTTTGTCATGATGCGGGTCCCCAGGCCCAGCGCAGCCAGGACTGGTGTGCCAGTAGTCTACCTTTACCAAGACCCCAACTGTCTTGATCAAATTGCAACTATGGCCTTGACTTCCTTCAATTTTTATGATAAAGCTATGAAATATTCTACAGCTTTTCAATCTCTTCCCTATCCTTTAAAATGAGATCACACTCAGGGCGCCTGGGTGGCTCAGTCGGTTAAGTGTCTGACTTCAGCTGAGGTCATGGTCTTTTGGCTCTTGGGTTTGAACCCCACATCGGGCTCTGTGCTGACAGCTCGGAGCCTGAGCCTCCTTCAGATTCTGTGTCTCCCTGTCTCTCTGCTCCTCTCCCTCTCACACTCTGTCTCTCTCCCACTCTCAAAAATAAATAAACATTTAAAAAACTAAAGCCATAAGTTGGGGTGCCTGGGTTGCTCAGTCGGTTAAGTGTCTGACTCTTGGTTCTCAGGGTTTGTGAGATCAAGCCCCACATCGAGCTCGCACTGACAGCACAGAACCTGCTTGAGATTCTCTCTCCCTCTCTCTCTGCCCCTCCCCCTCTCAAAATAAACATTTTAAAAAATAAAATAAAATGAGATCTCACCCTCCAAAACCCATTCTTCTGATTTTTCAAACTTACCTTCTTTTCTAACTAATCTTTTCCTCTTCCAAAACGATGGATTTCCCTTTGATCAAAATTACCCCTTCAACACCCCCCAGACACATATTACATGTCTTCTTTAAATGTTTTATTTCTCTATAAAATTGGGCCATTAAACATTTTCTTAGCTGTCCCTCTTGCTTTGTTTCTCTTTCCACTTACTTAACTGCTACATTGTGATAATAAAAATGGTAATGGTCTCCTGTGATTATAAACTGTTAGGAACATTTGTACATTTGTCCTGGGAGATTTTATTCTCAGATACAGATGCCTAGAGTTTGAAAATTAGTGAGACGCCTGGTTAAGCTTCTGACTTTGGCTCAGGTCATGATCTTATGGTTCGAGCCCCATGTCTGGCTCTATGTTGACAGCTCAGAGCCTGGAGTCTGCGTCAGATTCTGTGTCTCCCTCTCTCTCTGCCCCTCCTCCATTCACACACACTCTCTCTCAAAACATTAAAAAAAATTAATAAATAACTAAACATTAAAAAATTAGAGTCATAGTTGGGGCACTTGGGTGGCTCAATGGGTTGAGGGTCCAACTTCGTCTCCAGTCATGACCTCATGGTTTGTGAGTTCAAGCTCCGCGTTGGGTTCTGTGCTGAGAGCTCGGAGCCTGGAGCCTGCTTCAGATTCTGTGTCTCCTTCTCTCTCTCTCCCTCTCTGTCCCTTCCCCACTGCACTCTGTCTCTCTCTCAAAAATAAATAAACATTAAAAATTTTTTTTAAATTAGAGCCATAGAAAGTTAAAGCACAAACATATACACACACGTGTGGATTTAAATGTCCCGTACCTGCAGCTGTGACTTTGCAGGGGGAGTGTGTGACCACCAGGGAGATAATGCTGCCCCCCAACAAAGTCACCAAGTCTTGGTCCAGATGCTATGTAGGGAAAGGTCTATTTTCTTTGTTTTGTTTTGCTTTGATTTTCAATTTTTTTAAGTTTATTATTCAGGCGCCTTCTCAAAGCTGCGCCCCCAGTGCTGTCTGACTCCACTTTCGAGGCAAAGTTCTAGGGTGCATGGACGATGTGGAGGGTGTCTGTGCATTTCCAGGGCTCTCTCTCTGGGGTGTCTCCTACCCCCTGTGGCAGGAGTGAAAGCGGCCTCCTCAGCACGTCCAGGGCCAGGTTGCCCTCTCTCTTCTCTGCATTGATTGCTGGCTCATGACTTCCAAGTACAAGGGTTGTCTGGTGGGAGGGTGGTCAGGTCTGTTAGGAGAGAGAGAATCCCTGGAACCTTCTATGTCAGGGAGCTCTGCACTGGCCCACACCACACAGCAGAATTGGTGCCCATCCCCCAGAGCCTGTGGGGAGGGCGCTGGGCAAGGGTAGGTTGATGCATTCCTGAGGCATCTTCTGGGCAGTACAAGTCATCCTGTGAAGTACCGCTCAAAACCACCAACAGTCTTCATCCTTTCACTCTCTAGAGAGGCCATCTCCTAATTCTGTTTAAAGGTTACCAGGCTAGGAGTCTATGATTCCAGTGGCCATCACTCATTGACTGAGAAAGTTGACCATCTGATGGCATGATTCAACCACCAGATGCTCCTTCGTCCATTACAGAGACACCCGCTGAACTGTGGTTACATCTGTCCGCGTTCTTACCCTCAGTGAGCTCCTACTTTGGTGGAGGAAACAACCACAAAAACAGATCGTTGCACCACAGGCTCATAAGGGCAGTGGGAGAAGGGTGCCCCAGCGTTACGGGAGCCAGGGAAGGTGTCCCTAACCCTGCCCAGTCTGGGGGTCAGGTAGGTCTTCTGGAACTCTGAATGGAATGTGAACATGTAAGAGCCGGTAACACAGAAGGGAGCAGGCACCCTGTGGCTCAGGGCACCACGCGTGAGGGGGGCACGCATACTGGTGAGCACTTCTCCGCGAGCAGACCACCTCCACCCGCCAGAACACCGAGGAGGTACCAATGAGCGAACGATCGAGCACCAGGCAATACTTTACTGTTGCCGCATCAGTGGGAAGCAGATATTCTTAGCCTTTGGCTGGTGTGCTAATTAAATCATTTCCGAGGCAATTACACCAAATGTGGAATGTGCCAGAGCAATCCCGTGGGCTCTGCGGTAGGACTCACCTGGAGCCGAAGGAAGTCCTGAGTCCCCGCCGGGTCTGGATGTCTTCCCCGGGCAGCTCATGGCTCTGGGGCTGCAGGGAGTGCCCCTCGGTGGGACCATCCATTCGTGTTTAATAGAAGTTTGGAGGTCTGGAAAGGAGGCTCCTGGCCACAGCCACAGAGAACATCCTGCTGGGAGGGAGGCCGTTGCTGGGGCGGGTTCCTCATGCTGAGGGGCTGGGGCACCGTGCAAGGAAGCGAGGCTGCGTCCCCTACAACCCATCCCTGCAGGGCCCAGCAGCGACCCCCTGCCTGGGCCCCCAGGGTTTATAGATGTGGAAGGCTGCTCTCCCACAGACAGGCACCTGCTAACGATGTCCGCGTCCCCGGAGTAAGTCCACGGTGGCGATGATGAGGTTGACGAGGAAGGTAAGGTCCAAGCCATGCACACCATTTGTTAGTATGGAGGGGAGAGGGATCAGGGGTGGAAGGAGTTTTTCATAATGGTAATAATAGTCATAATAATGATGAATGGCTGGCATTACATTCGAGCGTCCACAGTACATCTGCCAGTGACCCCTTTTTCCAGTCTTCACAACGCTTCTCCGGTCCACGCAGTCAGCGTTTGCAGATCCGAGTTCATCTAATATCACACCATTGCTCCAACCCCTCCAGATTCTCCATAGAACCCCTGCTTCATAATGAATGTTCAGGGCCTCTGAGGAGACAGCCGAGGCTGGGAAAAGGCCAAGTCCAATTGGCTCCCTGCCTGAATAGCTCACGCAATTCAAAAGTTGCATTCCTTTACTGTGTCTCCACTACAGATAAATGCTGGGTCCGGGGCTGAATCTCAGGGTGCATAGACCCCTGACAGTCATTGGTCATTTTGCTCGCCGATAGTGCCGGGAGGCCCTGTCCTTGATTAGAAGCTCCCTGGGGGTGGGGTCCTTTCCTTGCTTGTTCTTATTTCCAATTTTTCATCTCAAGGGACTCCAAACAAACATGCAATCTAGATTAAAATGGTATGCTTTGTATACAACAAGAGCTTCAAGATGAGTCCCCAAACCTCTCCAAATTCTGCTAGAAGGCCATTCATTTTTGTTTTCATTTTCTTTTTTTATTTCGGGAGCAAAATTGAGTGATTCATCACTCACATGTAACACCCAGTGCTCACCCCAGCAAGTTGCCCTCCTTACTGCCCATCCCCCATTTAGCCCATCCCCCACCCAACACCCCGCCAGCAACCCTCAGTTCGTTCTCTGTATTTAAGTGTCTCTTTGGGTTTGCCTCCTCTCTCTTTTTATCTTATTTTTCCTTCTCTTCCCCAATGTTCATCTGTTTTGTTCCTTAAATTCCACATATGAGTAATCCTATGATATTTATTTTTCTCTGACTGATTTATTTTGCTTGGCATAATACTCTCTGGCTTCACCCACATTGTTGCAAATGGCAAGATTTTGTTCTTTATCATCGCTCAGTAGTATTCCATTATATATATATACCACATCTTCTTTATCTGTTCATCAGTTGATAGACATTTGGGCTCTTTCTATAATTTGGCTATTGTCGATAGCGCTGCTATAAACATTGGGGTGCACGTGTCCCTTCGAATCAGCATTTTCGTATCCTTTGGATGAATACCTGCTAGTGCAATTGTTGGGTCATAGGACAGTTCTAGTTTTCATTTGTTGAGGAACCTCCATACTGGTTTCCAGAGTGGCCACACCAGTTTGCACTCCCTCCATCAGTGAAATAGGGTTCCTCTTTCTCCGCATCCTCGCCGGCATCTGTTGTTGCCTGAGTTGTTAATGTCAGCCATGCTGACAGGCGTGAGGTTTTGATTTGTATTTTCCTGATGATGAGTGACGTTGAGCATCTTTTCATGTGTCTGTTAGTCGTCTGGGTGTCTTCTTTGCAAAAGTGTCTGTTCGTGTCCTTTGCCCATCAGAAGGCCATTCTCAAGGCCAACAAATGTGAAACGCTAGGGCCACTGTATTTTCATGAATAGCTACCACAGTGACCCTGCACAGCGAAGGTCCTAGAGAAATATACGTAGAATTGAATTGACCCACATCCTCTCACCCCCTTGCCTTCTGGCTGCCCCTCCTGGCAAGCGGGCGGTGACAATGCACCTGCTAATGTTCCTGTCTTCCTCGATTATAGGGGGCCACCCTCTGGACACCCCACACCTTCCACGGGAGCTGCCTCCAGGACTCTCAAAAACTATCAGTAAGGATTTTTGAACTTTTTTTTTTTTTAAAAGAAAAGACCTAGCTGGGTAGAAAGTTGTCTGGGATACTGGCAGAGAAGATGGCCCTTTCTAAATATACCACTTACTGCTGTGGTTCCTATAGGCACCCTGATTCAAACAGGGCTCAAAAGTCCCTCCACAGTCTCCCCTGATGTCTGACCCACCACGGTTCTCTCTTTGGAGACAAAGTACTAAAACTCCCACCCGAAGATAAGGGTCAGCTGCAAGGGGGACAGGAGATGGAACCAAATGGGCTGATCCATGGGGGTTATATGGTCACAGTATTTTAGCTTCAGACTGAGTTCTGAGACTCCTAGAAGGCAAGGCAAAAAGGGAAAGACAATGTATTCCAGTGCTCAACCCATAAGAAGGGAGGATCCATAACTGGTTTTGGGGGAAGGGGAAGTTTTCCTGATGATCGAGGGTAAAGATTTCTCAGATGGGCTCTTAGCTGGGTACCACTGAAGGACATAATGCATAGTGAACCAGCTGGTCACAGTAGCCCCGACTTCAGGGTTCATTTCCAACCGTTCAGGGAGGTGAGCCAAGTCAAACAAGTTATTTGTGCATGAGCCCATGCAAGCGAAGTGATCAGTCCCACCCAGACCCAAATGACAACCTGGCCCCTCTCTAAATGCCATAAACCCCCCGGTAGGTGCGATGCCTGGCCCAGGGAGAACTTGTAATAGATATGTAGACTCACAGCACACACTTGGCATTTGGAGGGCACAAGGCCAGGAAACCCCATGTGCCATCAGGCCATGACAGCCATTTCTGTCCAGCTAGAGCAGCCCGGGTGATGTGCACATCAGTCCAGGAGTCCCGAGGTAGCAGCTCAGATACAAAGGGAATGGGGCTCACGGAGTAGCACCCACAGGACCTGCCCTGGCCTGGAAGCCTTAGTCTCTAGTAGAATTAGTATCTCTAGTAACAACGTCATAGGTATCATTTCTAAAATGCCCAGAAAAGACAAGCTCAGTTGCAAGAGTCATCACACGGAGGGGGTCCCCACCCAGTGCCTCAGTCCCCACTAGGTATTTTAGCTCACCCAGGGGCCCTGCCCGTCCAGACACACCTCCTCCCCCAGGGGCAAGGTTGCTTAGTAACACACTTCCATTTCATCTTATCAGGTCTCCATGGTAACCCGCTCCGAAAGTTAGTCTGAGGTCAAATTCATGCTTAGAGAAAAAGAAAGGGCCTTACTTCCTCTTCCCACGGGCGGGGCAGCGGAAGGGCTCTCTGACTTGTTTTCTCTGCTTTCCACTTAGATCTCACCTCCTTCCATGGGGTGTTTAAAAATGTGGAAAGCGTGGCCGACATTTTTGGTAAGTTAAATGCCAAATTGCTTCCACCCACCAGGTGTCAGGGCACGGGGTGCTCTCTGTTCTCTGGGCTCCCTCTCTCCCACTCCTCCTGCCAGCCCTGAACCATGCGACCCGGGTTCTGACAAGAGTAGTGTGTCTTGCATTGCGGGGTGAGTCACGGGATCGCAAGGTGCCTGCATAGCCCTGACTTTGCTAGTCCTGACCACACCGCAGCCCGGGGAGGGAGGTGGGAAGAGAATGGTGTCCCTGTTGCCCAGGCTAGGAATCGAGTCTAAGGGCGGTATGTGACGTGCCAGGTCCTCCTCTGAGTCCAGAGCTTATTTATTGGACTTTCTCTCCCCAACTAACAAATACGCATGAAGCCCAAGGATTTCAAAGAGTGTCAAGTGCTCCTCTTATCGATTATGTTATCTATCCCATGACTATCAATTGCCGGACACCGTGATGGTTCGCACCACTGCTTTCTGAAAGTACCCCCGAAATAAGACTATCCTGTGATTGCCAGGAGTGAGAAGCTCTGAACTGGCCTGGGTTAGACCACGTGGGCAAAGGACTGCACTGGAAACGTGCATGTGGGTCAGTGCAGGCGCCCGCTAAGTTTTTGAGTGACAGTGCATATTTATATAAACACACACACACACACACACACAAATGAACTTTGGAGTAGCTTTTTTCTTCAGTATAGAATCATTTCCCCGGTTTCTGACTAGGCTGTGTGGACAGAAACCATGGGAAAGGAAGTTGGAATATGGTTGGAAAAACTCAAACAGGCTTGGAGGAACTAGTCCTCACAGACTACTTGTGGACCTTCCCAAGCTCTCACGTGTGACCCGGTGCATTAGAATCAGGGCTGTGGGGTCCCACACCCCCTTTGGCACTTAAGGGTCCTGCAGTCAGAAAGGCAGAGAGTGGGGAGGGTGGGCGTGCCGCTCAAGGTCCAAAGCCTGGAAATTGGTCTCTTGCCAATTTTACTTGCAGGAACATTCTTGTTTAGGGCAAGTCATTGGTTGCTGGTTGATACCTCGGGCGTATCTCCCACCTTCAGTTTCTTTACCTATGAAACAGAAGTGACAGAGTGGCATCTGTCTTGCAGGATTAACGGGAAGTTTATGGGGTGATGGACCAAGTGAATGCTTTCTAAAGCGTGACTCACTGTCACTCTTCACTATTGTGCTATTAAAGCACACAGCACAGTTTCTGCCACATAATAGGGGCCCCCAAATTATTAGGGTCTGTATCCTTTCTCTTCCTGCACTGGATTACCCTTGTCTAGGGTCATGCCTGTATCATTTGGGATCCACTCAGTTGACTCATAGTGACTTAAATAACAAAGGCATTTAATCATCTCACAGAAGCTGCCTGAAAGCACCAGACAGATGTCGGAGGTATCAGCAGGTCTTAGAGACCCGTTCTCTCTCCATCACCATAGCTAGGCATGCTGGCTTTTCAATATTGAGCTTGGGGCCTCATGGTGGCAATGTGGTTGCGCAGCCTCAGCCAACAGATCCTTACCCATATTCAAGGAAGGAGAAAGGTGTAGATCAAAAGGATGTCTTCCATGCCTTTGTACTTTATTCTGAAGGAAACAATTCCCCCAGTCTAACAGACTTCCCTTTAAGGTGTTTTGGCCAGATCGAGGTCACGTGCTCAACCCCAGGCCACTCTCTGTAATGGAAGCTGGGATGATTAGCGTGACCAGCCCAGAATGAGCAGGAAATGTCCGCAGGGATTTGGGGAGGAAGCTCACCTTCCCTGAGTGTCTTTCAGCTTTGTAGGTATGCAAGGAGGGTTACATGACATGGGGGCAACCAAGGGGGACCACAGGTCCCCTCCATTGTCCAGTATAATCCTAAGCATACAGTAGGTGCTCAGTAGGATGCCGAGGTACAGGAAGTCCCGGGCCCAGGGGCTCCTTCCCGGGCCCTGGTTCCCAGCGGCCGGCCGCCCCCGCCCCGCAGACTGCCTGGGCGCCCACTTCACCTGGCTGCAGGCCGTCTTCACCGACTTCCCTTCGCTCCTCCACTTCATGAATGGCCTGAGGTGTGTGGCGGGTCTCTGCCCCCGGGACTTCGAGGACTACGGCTGTGGCTGCAGGTTTGAGATGGAAGGGTCACCGGTGGACGAGTCTGACAGGTGAGCAGCACCCAGAGGGGGCCCTCGGAGGCCTGGCTGGCGCTTGGGAAAGCGTTCGGGAGGCGTCTTAATTCTCTGCTGCAGAGACACTGGTTTCCTCATCCTTCAATCGCAAGGTAACCGGTGGCCTTCTCGCCCCGGGAAGCGGTCACGGTCCTGGATCCGTCTCCTGTGCAAAGCGTCAGTGTGGGGACTCCCCGACTTGGGTCCACCTGTATCAGAGCCACCGGGAGGTTTGCTAAAAGGCAGATTCCTAGGACCCTTCCCAGAGCGACCGACTCAGACTGTGTTTAGCTAGAACCCGGGGGTCCGAATTTTAAACAAGCTTCCCAGGTGACTCTCAAGCATGAGAGAGAGATTCTTTATTCAGAACAGTCCTGGCCACCAGCGGTCAAGGGACTATAGAGGCGTCTATTTAATTTCCCACAACCAAGCTCCCATAACATACGGACACTCTGCTTAATACAGCAGAATCCTAGGGGCGCCTGGGAGGCTCAGTCGGTTAAGCGTCCGACTCTTGATTTTGACTCAGGTCTTGATCTCACAGTTGGTGAGATCGAGCCCCGCTTCAGGCTTTCCACTTACTCAGGGAGCCTGCTTGGGATTCCCTCTCTCCGTGTCTCTGTCCGTCCCCCGCTCTAGCTCTCTCTCTTAAAATATATAAATAAACATTTAACACGTATATAGACAGAATCCTATCCCTGCTTCAAAGATGTAAACAGCTGGGGGGGACAGAGAGAAGGTACGAGGGGCCGATAAAAATGTGTGCCCTCCCTACGCACAAGGGGAGGGGGGAGTGAGTCATCCACTTTCCCACATCAGATTAGGAAGAAACTTTAAAATCTTAGATGCTTCAGGTGTTGGCAAGGACTTGGCAAAAGCATACCGGCGGCAGGAGGGGCAGTGGGAAAATTCGGTGGAAACCGCGTGCGAGGCCTCTTACCTGTGGCCCCGTGATTCCGGCTCTCAGCTCTGTACTGACAGAGCCGTAGCAGTGGGAGTAGTAGCAGTGCTGACAGACCCACGCTAGTGGGAGTAGTAGCGGTACTGACAGAGTGGTACTAGTGGGAGTAGTAGCGGTACTGACAGAGCCGCACTAGTGGGAGTAGTAGCGGTACTGACAGAGCCGCACTAGTGGGAGTAGTAGCGGTACTGACAGAGCCGCACTAGTGGGAGTAGTAGCGGTACTGACAGAGCCGCACTAGTGGGAGTAGTAGCGGTACTGACAGAGCCGCACTAGTGGGAGTAGTAGCGGTACTGACAGAGCCGCACTAGTGGGAGTAGTAGCGGTACTGACAGAGCCGCACTAGTGGGAGTAGTAGCGGTACTGACAGAGCCGCACTAGTGGGAGTAGTAGCGGTACTGACAGAGCCGCACTAGTGGGAGTAGTAGCGGTACTGACAGAGCCGCACTAGTGGGAGTAGTAGCGGTACTGACAGAGCCGCACTAGTGGGAGTAGTAGCGGTACTGACAGAGCCGCACTAGTGGGAGTAGTAGCGGTACTGACAGAGCCGCACTAGTGGGAGTAGTAGCGGTACTGACAGAGCCGCACTAGTGGGAGTAGTAGCGGTACTGACAGAGCCGCACTAGTGGGAGTAGTAGCGGTACTGACAGAGCCGCACTAGTGGGAGTAGTAGCGGTACTGACAGAGCCGCACTAGTGGGAGTAGTAGCGGTACTGACAGAGCCGCACTAGTGGGAGTAGTAGCGGTACTGACAGAGCCGCACTAGTGGGAGTAGTAGCGGTACTGACAGAGCCGCACTAGTGGGAGTAGTAGCGGTACTGACAGAGCCGCACTAGTGGGAGTAGTAGCGGTACTGACAGAGCCGCACTAGTGGGAGTAGTAGCGGTACTGACAGAGCCGCACTAGTGGGAGTAGTAGCGGTACTGACAGAGCCGCACTAGTGGGAGTAGTAGCGGTACTGACAGAGCCGCACTAGTGGGAGTAGTAGCGGTACTGACAGAGCCGCACTAGTGGGAGTAGTAGCGGTACTGACAGAGCCGCACTAGTGGGAGTAGTAGCGGTACTGACAGAGCCGCACTAGTGGGAGTAGTAGCGGTACTGACAGAGCCGCACTAGTGGGAGTAGTAGCGGTACTGACAGAGCCGCACTAGTGGGAGTAGTAGCGGTACTGACAGAGCCGCACTAGTGGGAGTAGTAGCGGTACTGACAGAGCCGCACTAGTGGGAGTAGTAGCGGTACTGACAGAGCCGCACTAGTGGGAGTAGTAGCGGTACTGACAGAGCCGCACTAGTGGGAGTAGTAGCGGTACTGACAGAGCCGCACTAGTGGGAGTAGTAGCGGTACTGACAGAGCCGCACTAGTGGGAGTAGTAGCGGTACTGACAGAGCCGCACTAGTGGGAGTAGTAGCGGTACTGACAGAGCCGCACTAGTGGGAGTAGTAGCGGTACTGACAGAGCCGCACTAGTGGGAGTAGTAGCGGTACTGACAGAGCCGCACCAGTGGGAGTAGTAGCGGTACTGACAGAGCCGTACTAGTGGGAGTAGTAGCGGTACTGACAGAGCCGTACTAGTGGGAGTAGTAGCGGTACTGACAGAGTGGTACTAGTGGGAGTAGTAGCGGTAATGACAGAGCCGCACTAGTGGGAGTAGTAGCGGTACTGACAGAGTGGTACTAGTGGGAGTAGTAGCGGTAATGACAGAGCCGCACTAGTGGGAGTAGTAGCGGTACTGACAGAGTCGTACTAGTGGGAGTAGTAGCGGTACTGACAGAGCCGTAGTAGTGGGAGTAGTAGCGGTACTGACAGAGCCGCACTCGTGGGAGTAGTAGCGGTACTGACAGAGCCGCACTAGTGGGAGTAGCAGCGGTACTGACAGAGCCGTAGCAGTGGGAGTAGTAGCGGTACTGACAGAGCCGCACTAGTGGGAGTAGCAGCAGTAATCCCAGCCAGCGTGATGCAGCAGCCGTAGTATAAAATCGGGAAACTGCACCCACTTTTACCTGTACTCCGGGACCCATGTCCCCACCTCACTGGTGTGCACCTGTGCCCAAAGCCAGCATGAGGGAGCGCGTGCCCTCATCGGGGAGGGAAGGACTCCCCTTTGGAGAAGCCCATGCCCATTGTCTGCCCGGTGTTCCCCGTGAGGACACCCTGTTTGGACGCCTTGTCCCCAAGGCACAGCACAACCTCCATGCTCCGCAAACCTGTGCTTCCTGTCCCACACCTGCCACGCGGGACAGCGCGTGCACACGGCCTGTCTCCCGCTCTACTCCACCAACTCTAAGAGGGGGTCTGCACCATGTCGTTTCTTTGCACTCCCAGCATGGACGACAGCACTGGGCACATAGTAGGAGCTCAGCAAATTAACTCCAATTGCTTTTCAGAGATTAAAAATAAGTAATTACATGAGAAGTGAAGTATCCTTGATGGATCAGGAATAACAGTTTTGGAATTAAGCACTAGATCTCTCTCATTGCCACATCTCCAAGAGAGGATATAAGTTGCCTCTGCATCAGAAGGGCATCTTCAGAGCTTTGGGACCAGGAGCAAACTGACTCCCGGAACCAGCTCATTGACCTCCAGAAACAAAGAGGCTGATCCCGAGTGCGCCAAAATTCCGGGACCATATCTGAGAGTATATTTTCCTTTCAGGTTCTCCATGACTGTTTCCTCTAATTATTACAATACATTGTCAAGCTAGAAGTCAAAGAAATGAAGCAGTAATTCACCACTCTCTGAATGGTGGATGCACTGACGGCCCCAAACTGGTGGAATGAAGGGCCACACCCAATTTCAATGACTTAACACAGTTCAGTTGATGGGGGTGGGGATTTCCAAACTCCCGGAGGACTGGCTTTTTCTACTTTGAACCTTCATAGCAGATACTGAGAATAATTGCTATCATTTATTGAGTGCCCACCTCATGGTAGGATCTATAGATTTTTTTAAATTTTTATATTATTTTTAAAGTTTATTTATTTTGGGGGGCGTAGGAAGACTAGAGAGATAAGGAGAGAGAGAGAGACAGAGGGAGAGAGAGAGAATCCCAAGCAGGCTCTGCATTGTCAGTGCAGAGCATGATGTAGGGCTTGAACTCACAAACCATGAGATCATGAACTGAGCCGAAAGCAAGAGCTAGACCCTTAACCATCCTTAACCTGCTGAGCCACCCAGGCACCCCTATATAGATGTTTCTTGAATCCACCAAATTCTTAGGTTAGGTAGTTTGAGAAATTTAGTAGCTTTCCCAAGGCTATGAGCTGCCTGTATATTTTCTCTTCTTTACACTGGTCTCCAGTGACATCCTGTGTGTACTACAAAAGCCTCCTGACTCCCATTTTACTGTCGGCTTCACTCTGTGATTGACGTTGACCTTGGCAAGTTACTGAGCCCTACGCATCTCAGTCTCCATGTATATATAAATGCTCGTAATGGTAATAGCCCCTGCTGCACAGGTAATATAACTCAAGTGTGTGCGTGCGTGCACGTGTATGCACGTGTGTGTGCACGAGAGCACTATGGAAGCACCACTGCCAGGAATCATCCAGAGACGCAACAATTGCAGACTCCCCTCTTAACCCCCCTCCGCACTCTCACCTTGACCTCCCCCACCCATCACAGCTGCTGCTTCCAGCATCGCAGGTGCTACGAGGAAGCTGCGGAGATGGACTGTCTCCAGGACCCTGCCAAGCTCGGCACAGATATTGACTGTGTCAGCAAGAGGATCACGTGCGGTAAGCGTGTCCAGGTGTCTCAGGGGGCCAGGCTGAGAAATGGCAGCTCAGGAATCCAGGCCAGGGCCAGACCACGGGCTCCCAGGGTCCCCTCTCATCATCACTGCCACTGCTGACATCATCAGCTCTACTCAGAGCCTCACGAGGGCTGGATCGATGGCATCTGTACCTTACGTGGAGTAGAGGAATAACAGATGCTTCTTGAGATGAAAGAATCATGGATCAGCAGGTTTTGTGATTTATGATTTTATGTGGTAGCAATCCCGGGAGCCTGGGAAGGCAGGTGGTTTGCAGCTTACACGTTGTGTGATGTTGGAGCCTCGCAAAACCACTCAGAACCTCTACACGGGGAGGAGAAAACTTGCTTCAGGGATGTGTTACAAAAATTGAGTTAAACAATGCTTCAGTGCAAAACGATGTTACATTTGTTAAATGTAAACAGTGCTCTGTGTGAAACAGGTAACATGATGACTGGCCTATGTTAAGAAGTCAGCGATGTAAGTGTAAGAGCCAGTGATGGACGAGTTAGGGTTGTAGTTGCTGCTGAGTCGGTTCAAATCTCAGTGCTCCTCCCTATTCACCGTGTCACTCCAGGGATTTTATTTCACGTCTCTGGGTGATCCTGGCAGAGGAATTAGAATAGGCAAAGGCATAGAGGGGAGAGGAGCACGGCACCTTGGGGGCAGTATGTTGGAGCCGTTCTTGATGAGCACCTATTATGTGTCATAGGCTTTAGACCCAGCAGATGTGATCGTCCTCAGAATCTTATGAGATGGACTCATGTTTCACAGTTTTCAAATAAGGACAAGGAAGCTCAGAGAAATTAAATAACTTGCCCAAAGTCACACAAGCTGCGAAGTAGCAGAGTCAGGGTTTGAACCCAGGTTCGACTGATCCCCGCGTCCAGGTAGCAAAGACTGGCTGAAGTATGGCGCATCAGGAAAGGAGCATAAATCACTATGCAGTGAACATGGAAAACAGCGTTCATTCATTCATTCATTCACTCATTCAGCAGATGCATACTGAGCACCTAACTACACACCTACACTAAGTGCAAGAGGGTGAGGAAGGAGGAAGGAGATGAGCTCCAAGAAGGAACAGAAGCAGCAGGTTTTACATTGATTGGAAAGTTGCCGGAAAGTTCCGAACCCCCAGAAAGACATGGTTTGCCCTGAGTCTTGAAAGGCTTGTTCTGGCTCCTCAATGAGGGCAGCCAAGGCCGCAGGTTTGCGGCGGCACTGACAGAGCCCAGGCACGAGTGGAGGTGGGGACGTGTGGTCACACTCTAAACAGGTTGAAAGTAGAAGCCCGACCATTGGGGGTGAGGGTGACAGAGGAGGGGCCACAGCACCATCTCGGGCCCGCCCAGCTGATGCTCACACAGCCAACATGGTGAGAGCAGGACACCCGTAGGGGGAGCTCCTGGGATTCCCAATGACGTCTTCCAATCTGCTCTGCCCTTGCTCTGTGCACAGAGTCCAGGGACCCTTGCGAGCACCTGCTGTGTACCTGCGACAAGGTTGCCATAGAGTGCTTGGCTCAGTCCAGCATCAACTCTTCCCTGAACCTTCTGGATGCTTCCTTCTGTCTGGCTCAGCCTCCAGGTGGGAATGACGGGGCCCCTCATTGGTGGTGGGGCTGACGGGCTGGGGAGGGAGCTGCTATGTGCCTTCAGATGCAAGTCCGGCACCTTCTGATCGTCCCCAAATGCACACTGCTCTGAACAGGCTTCCCAATGTGTTTCTTTCCAGAGACGCCCAGCGCCCGAGAGCTGACGACGCTTCTGCCCCAAGGTAAGGCCTTCTAGGGAAGCTGCTCCTTGGCCCACAGGGGCCGGGCCACAGCTGGAGCTAGCAGATACACCCCCAACCCTGGGCCTGCCTGAGTGACCCAGGGCACCAGAGATGTCCCTACCTCCCTCTGCCCAGGAGACACCATTACTGCTGACAAACCCAGTTCAAACATCCAACAGCAAATGGCCCTCATGCAAACCATGTTCTTTGCTATACGGACAGGTGTGCATTTAATCCAGTTAAGGCGTAGACCCCAGGTCCTTTCTCTCTCGCTCTAGAGTTGGGGCCCAGGTGTACACGGAGGGCAGGACAGGGGCCAGTGCTCTGACGGAAAAAGGCTCCTCTTGGCTGGGTGAGCTTCTGGCCGCTGGAGCCTCCCGAGAGCAGACCAGCTTTCTCCTTCCTCTGCCTTCCAGAACTTGCCGCAGAAAGGGCAGCCTGGGCCCAGATAGGGGTCCCTTGAAGGGGAGGCTATTTCTTGTGTCCCTCCTTTTAAGACACGGTGGGCTCTTCATATCTGCCTGCTCAAATAAGCAAGTGTTAATTCCTACTCCAAAACATGCATCTTAGGGGAAACTGAGTTCTGCCTGGTATTCCTTGTTCACCAAAGTTCGCATGATCTCTTGGTCCTCAAACCGTGGGTAGCTGGGGACAGGAAGTTCGAGGTGCACTTTGGCAGAGCACCCCTCTTTTCCTGGGGCTGGGGTCTCCCTCCCAGTCCTGCAGTTAAGCATCCGACTTTGACTCGGGTCATGATCTCATGGTTCTTGGGTTCGAGCCCTGTGTTGGGCTCTGGTGCTGACAACTTGGAGCCTGGAGCCTGCTTCGGATTGTGTGTCGAATTCAGATTCTCTTTAAAAAATTAAAAAAAAAAAAAAAAAGCTGATGTCAGTGTGCCCGCGTGTATGAGTGTGCATATATGCAGGTGTGCGCAGGTGTAAGCGTGTGTGAGTATGGGTATAGGTGTGTGTGTTCTATTTCGATATATCTTCTGAGCCTAGTTCTCTTTATTCTGTGTCATCTGCGTCCCTTTTGAACAGAGGCCTAAGTGGGGAATATCATATTTCACAAACCTTCAGTGTCTGCGGGCTTTCACTGCCGCAGCCTGGGTCTGCTAGCATCCCGTTCCCGCCCAGAACCCAGCACTGGCTGGAGTCCCTCCTACGCTGGGGCCTTGAGAGCATCCCATGTCCCGGCAGCTGTAGGGGAGGCTGGGAAAGCCTAACACAGAACAAAAGCCCTTGTCTGGCAACAGCCCCCACAGCCCTCTCTTGTCTTGGTCCAGCAGTCCCCGCCTGTCCTTTGAGATCCGTGGCCCTTGGTCTAGACACTGTTCCATCAGTCATTGCTTTGGGGGCTTTCTGTTTCAGCAGTTCCTGTGGACCCTGCAGACACCAGTTCAACGGCCCTTTCAGGAGAAGGTAAGCACGAGGGGGCCAGTGTGTAGCCCAAATACCCAAGCTTTGATTGTGCCATCTGCTTACCTGCTGGGATTAGCTCCCCTAAAATGCCCCCTGCCCGGGTTTGCATCGAAACTGCTCAAGAACATTCCAGAGCCACTCTCAGTTTCTTCTGACCCCCCACATCTCTTCTCTACTTGCTCTGCTTTCTCCCACTCCCCTCTTCCCATCCCGGTAGAACTGTCAGAGGCAGCGATATTGACCATCCATCATCTGAGGTTGAATTTCGGATGAACCGACAAATACTATTTTAGTATAACTATGTCCCAGAATTTGCATGGGATATACTTATACTAAAAAGCAATCTGTTGTTCATGTGAGATCTGAATTTAACTGGGCAGCCTGTATTTTTATTTACCAAATTTGGCAATTCTATGCCTCAGGGAGATCACTCTGCACAACTGCCTTCCCAGAAGCTCACTGTGCAGCCCATCCCTGGCCATCCTCCATGGCCAAGGGCATCTCATACCCAACAGCTCTCGGACAGTCTGTGCCTCGGACTCCAGGTTTAGGAAAAGAGGACATGGCACCTATACGAAGCCAAAGCTTCACCATGAGCCCTGCCCACAGGGCAATCATTCCCTGCATGATGGACAGTGGCCACTTCCATCAGAAACTCAAGATATGATTTGGGCTTCACGTCCCACGAGACAGACTAACCAACCCTAAGATGGCGCATTTTCCACTTGCTGCAGCCTGAGCCATCATCATGCCGGGCACGGTGCCGAGAAAATAAGCTTCGTAAGGAACCTTGAGTCTAACTGGAGAAAGAGTTGATGCGCTCACACGTGTGTCCCCTGACACACACGCACTCACACCCATGACCTAGCGGTGCCCACAAATGCCCCCCAGAAAAGGAGGCAGCCTGAATGCAGGAACGAGCAGCAATCACAAGGGAAAAAGATAAGGCCCGTGATTGTTCTCACCGTCATGTAACGCAACAATCACGTTTTGGAGTCGGGCAGCTTTGGGATGGAATCCCGGCTCTCCCATTTTTCAGCTGTAGGACTCTGAAAGCATGGTTTGAAGTCTCTCATCTTCAATTTCATTTCAGAAAGCAGCGATTGGCCATTTTTTTTCAGGGTCAGGTAGTAAACATTTTACGCTTTGTGGGCCGCGTGGTCTCTGTTCAGTGACCCAACTCTGCCACTGCAGCAGGAAGGTGGCCGTGGACTGGATCCATAACACCGGTAGCTAGATGGACATGACTGTGTTCCACTCAAACATTAGTTACAAAAACAGGCCGAGGGCCGAGCCAGGGTTTACCAGCCCCTGGAAAGGGATGGCTACACATGCCCTTCAGGGTGTCAGGGGATTAAATGAGAGGGAGCATGGGAAGATTCTGGACCCGCACCTTCCTCAGAGGTCTGGTGTGGCTGTAACAAACAGCAGTGCACTCTCAAGGCACATGCAGGACCCTGGACAACTTGCTTGAAATATAAAATCTCATTTAATGCTCATCATGATTTCAACTCTGTGAAATCATCGCTAAACCCCCCCACATGGAGACGGTAAATTGCGTTGGAGAGAGAAATTGTCCAAGACACGGAGCTGGGTGGCAGGCAGGGTTCGAAGGCTGCATGGCATTCTGTCCTTACCGGTACACCGCACCCCCTCTTCCGCTGCCCTCTGCCAGGGACCTGTTGCAGCAAGGGGACCTCGTGGCTTTTTCTCCCAGGAGGCCATTTGCTGGTCTCTTTGCCTGCACACAGTCCCCGTGCTAATCTGGCCCCTGTCCACTTAATCGAGGCCAGTGTGTCCATGTTCCTGATGAGACCGCCATGGGCTTCCCCTCCTCAGCCCCCCAGTCCCTCAGCCCCCAAAGCTGTTTTGTTTGCAGGTGACCTGTCCTGGCTTACGTGCTGAACCACGCAGGTAATTGAAGTTGAGTGATTTCCTTCCACAGTGGCTCCTGAGGCCAGAGCTGACCCGCTGACCACACCCTCCAGGACAAGTAAGCGGAGAAGACTCCACAGGAGGAGAGCACGGGATCGGGGGTGACATGCCATCTAAATGCACATGCTCAGTTCTGATGACCGCTCTTTGTCAGGCCTCGGAAGAAACATTAGTACACCCATTTTTCAGATGATGTGAAAAACTGAGGCTCTGGGAGTTAAAAGTTACAGGTGGCTCAGCACGAGACTCGCTGGACTGGTCTCTAACCTGATCTCAGACTGTAAGACTTTTGTGTCCCTTATGTCGTGGTGACTTATGGAAAACATCCTCGTCCCTAAAAATGTCTAGGCCAATATGTCCTCGGAAGAAATAACTTAACCATTTACATTGCTTGTGGTGATTAATAACCATGGATTCTTTATTAATAAGCATACATCATTCATAATAACCATTTACTAATTACTAAGAATGAATAGATAAACAGATTCCCTGATTAACAGGTGGGGACACCGTGGGTATGGTGGCATGTTCTTAAGCCCCTGCACACACCCTCTGGGTTCAACCCCTCGGTCCTAGGAGGCCCCACAAGATGGATAAAGGAGGCGCTCTGAGACGCAGTCGTTTGCCTGGGGTAGTACAGCATAGAGTTCCGTTCGTTCTGAACCTGTGAATTTTACTTTGAAGAGAACCATCTTCCTGAGCTTCTCTCCTTTGCTGGAGCACTTTAATGTGTCCACATCAGTAAACGTGTAAGCCCGATTTCTACATAACACCATCATAATCTTGACCTTCGACACATTGAATTTGAGGTAGTTCCTTCCTTCCTCGATGGTGCTGGGGGTTTACCCCCACTAGCTCTTTGTGGTACAGCCAGAAGTGCAATAGCAGCCTAGCTCAGTGGTTAGGATGGCCAACTTTAGCCGGTGGGCCCGGATTCTGCGACTTCCTAGCTCTACCACCTACCGTAAGTGACCTGTCTTTTCTGTGCATCCCCTTTCTCATCTCTGAACAAGGGTGAGCATAGTGCTAATTTGTGGGGCTGCTGTTTAGTACAAGCAAAGCACTTGCTACTGTATCTGGCTTATAGTAAGTAGGTCTTAGTCTATTCTTGCTGCTACAACAAAATATCACAGATTGAGTAGCTTGGAAACAACAAAATTTATCTCTCCTGGTTCTAGAAGCTGGAAGTCCAAGCTAAAGACACCAGCATGGTCAAGTTCAGTGAGGCCTGCTTCCTGGTTCATAGACAGCCAACTTAGGGGTGCCTGGGTGGCTCAGGCGGGTGAGCGCCCAACTTCGGCTCAGGTCATGATCTTGCAGTTCGTGAGTTCGAGCCCCACATCAGGCTCTGTGCTGACATCTCAGAGCCTGGAGCCTGCTTCGGATTCTGTGTCTCCTTTTCTCTCTCTCTCTCTGTCCCTCCCCCACTCGCACTCTGTCTCTCTCAAAAATATATAAACATTAAAAAAAAAGGAAGAAGAAAATAAATACATAGATAGCCAAATTCTTGCTGTGTTCCCACACGGTGGAAGGAACCAGGGAGGTCTGTGGGGTGTCTTTCATAAGGGCCCTGATCCCATTCGTGAGGGCCCCCTCCTCCTGACCTAGTCACCTCTCAAAGTTCCCTAGGTCATCCCGCTGAGGATTAGGATTCAACATTTGAGTTTGGGGGAAGCACAAACATCCAGTCTATAGGATAGTAGGAGCCTAATAACAGTTAAACAACAACAGTCTCATTTCACAGGGAAATGGGGCCCGGCAGTCTTCTGGGAGCCACATAGCAGGCAGCTAGAACCCACCATTCTGCTGTCCCCTCCTTTGTTCAAAAATACATGATCAAAAAAAGTTTTTTTGTGGGGCGCCTGCGTGGCTCAGTCGGTTAAACGTCTGACTTCGGCTCAGGTCATGACCTCGAGGTCTGTGAGTTCGAGCCCTGAATCGGGCTATGTGTTGACAGTTCAGAGCCTGGATCTTGCTTCAGATTCTGTGTGTCCCTCTCTCTCTCTCTCTCTGCCTCTCCCCTGCTCAAGCTCTGCCTCTCTCTGTCTCAAAAATAAAAATAAAACATAAAAAATGGTAGCAAAGTCTTTAAAAAAAAAAAGGTGTTTGTTTGTTGAAACTCTGGAGAAGTCTGCTTTCCTAAAGTATTTCAAAGAGGCACCTGCCTCAAGACCTGAAGGTCGCAGCTGCCTTTGCCAGCAAGCCCATGTCTGGGGAGGGCAGTCTCTTTGGCTTAACAGTGGCGCAGCCATCGCCACCAGCTCCTGGGAGGTAACCAGGGGCGGAGCAATGACCTCATTGCCTCCTGTGCCTGTAGGATGGCAGTAGCTTCCAGAAACCAAGGTAGGACAGGCTGGGGTCACCACTCACCCTCTCTCTCTTTTTTTTATGGGCAGATGCAGGCCAAGACCAGCAAGGCACGGAAGCCACTCGGACAACACCCCCTCCGGGTAAGCACACTCGGGCCCTCCTGCCTGCGTATAACAGTCGTCCCTTTGTGTGTTTATGAGATCCGGTGTGTTCTAGAACATGGAGGAATCACTGAAACCAGTTCCCTTCTACACCCCCTCCCAAGAGCAGACATATGAAGTGAAAAGGTAGATCCATTTAGGAAGAAAAGGAAGAAAAGGTGGAAAGAAAGGGAAGCCTACCTGATAAAGAGATGCATTTAGAAAAATATAGAAGACTGTGTATTGTTTTCTATTTAAATCACGTGTCATCCCACATTATAAGGACAGCCACTTTCAAGAGCTGAAGGTGTCTCCCTCTGCTGTCTCCCCACCGCCCAGCAGATCTATGATGTAATTAACATGAACTTGAGATCCCGTGGTGACACGGCTTTGGAGTCTGAGCTGTTAGCACTTAACACATGAGATGATTCTCCTCTGACATGAAATATTTTCCTATAACATGATTTTTAGTGGCTGGACCACAGTTTCTGGTACGGGATGCCATAACTGTATTTAGGCAATTATTTCTAACATTGTTACTGTAAACAATAGGTCTACGCTTTAAACCCAGCACTTCTGAATCATTTGTCCCCACACGTGCTGGAAGTGGAATTACTGATGGCGTGAGTAGGGCTCGCCATATGTTGCCAAATTGCCCTGAAGAGAAACTGACCCTCTGCGGATCCCACGACTGACACTGTGTACTGTTATTTAAAAGCAAGCAAACAAAATCCTCTACCGTTTTAACAGAAAACAACAACAACAAGAAACCCCATGGTAGCTCATTTTTCCTCCTTCTCCCTCCGATGAAAATTGAAAGGAGTGTCTCCCTCTCTGCCCCTCCCCCACTAGCGCTATTTCTCTGTCAAAAATGAACAAACATTTTAAAAAATGTTAAAAACTAGATTAAGAGGGGCTAGTGATTTGCCTGAGGTCACACAGCTAGTCTGTGGCTGAGCTAAAATCCAAAGTCAGATTTCCTTACCTCTAAAACTGTGTTCTTTCCACTATCTTGAGTTTGTCAAAAAGAAACAGGGCCGCACATTTGTTACAGGTGGCGAGACAGGGGCGCCGGGGTGGCTCAGTTGGTTGAGCGTCTGGCTCTTGATTTTGGCTCAGGTCATGAGCTCGGGGTTTGTGGGATCGAGCCCCATGTTGAGCTCGGCACTGAGCATGGAGCCTACTTGGGATTCTCTCTCCCCTACTCTCTCTGCTCCTCTCCCACCCCCTCCCAAAATGGATGAGTAAACTTCAAAACAAAGTGGCAAGACAAATTTTATTCAGGTTTCTGCAGTGGGGGAGGGAAACATCAGGGGCACTGAGCTCGGCTAGGATCTGTGCGGACGCGGCAGGGACTTTTAGAGGTTGAATGGGAGGGCGGATAACGATCGGGAGCCCCAGCAGACTCAGGGAAGTGAAAATTCCAAACCGGGGGTAGGGGGCTGTTTTCTGGAAATTCATGCAGAGCAGGTGTCGGGTCAGTGAGGGTCTCAAGCTGAAGTTCCTTTGGTGGCCTTGAGCTTTCTCGGGCAGGAAGTCAAGGGCAAGTGGGAGGCTGGATCATCCTGGGGACACTGGGCTGGGGTGGGTGTAAGTCTCCTTAGTGTGGGGGCAGGGCATGGGTGAAAGAGTTTGTGCGGTGAGTTTGCAGTTCTCATAGGTCAAGGTTGAGGCTGGGTCGAGAAGAGGGCCCAGAGCAGCCTGGCTGAAGTCTGGTCAAGGAGAGAGTCTGTCAGCTCCCAGCAGTCTGGAACATGATGAAAAGAAGCCTGCTGTGGGTTTCTGTTTGTGGGATTGGAGAGGGGGGCCTGATGTGAGACAGAGGATACGATGGGGCTACTGTAGCCCTGCCCCCACCCCCCAGGGAGCGGAGCGCTGAGCAAGGACACAGAAGCCCAGATGTATGAAGCAAACCAACATGGCGGGTCTGGGGAGCGACCAAGTCAGGGGACCCCTGAGATGCCCTGGCCTCACCCAGCACTCTGGGTCCACAGATGGTGGGGGGCACAGCCTACGAGGCTCCCTCAGTCTGGACCAGGCTGGGCCGGAGACACCGCTACCTCTGGCCAAGAGAACAGATGGGGCAGACACAGAGCAAAGGGAGATCCGGACGGCGCCCAGGGGGTCTGTGTGCAGGGGGGGTGGGGGGCAGAGAGATCCCGGCCGCCTCGCAGCCACAGCGAGGACCTGGCACTTCATCCCGGGTGTGGCGAGAAGCTGCGGTGTCTGAGGTGGGGTCCTGCTCGCCGACACTACTGGGTACCAGGAATTGGCTTCAGGGTTCGCCATTCTTGTTACCTCTTCACTTGTTGTTGTTGTTGCTGTTTAATTTTTTTTTTTTTTAACATTTATTTAGTTTTGAGAGACAGAGAGGCAGAGCATGAGCAGGGGAGGGGCAGAGAGAGAGGGGGAGACACAGGATCTGAAGCAGGCTCCAGGCTCCGAGCTGTCAGCACAGAGCCTGATGCGGGACTTGAACCCACAAACTGTGAGATGGTGACCTGAACTGAAGTCGGACGCTTAACCAACTGAGCTACCCGGGCGCCCCACCCCTTCACCTGTGAACACCACGGCAGGTGCGAGGTGGTCGACACGACACACACAGGCCAGGCAGGCTGTGACAGACCCCGAGAGAGGTCCTGCACCTAGATATGGGCTCCTGGCCGCCTCGAGGTTATCACGGGGCACTGGGAAATCCTCACGTAACATTCATGGATCCCCCGAGACTCCACCCTGATGTCTGCAAACCCAGATCGAGGACATGAGCCTGGCAATTTGTTCTTCTGAAATATCTGTCTGCACTTGGCCTTGATCGTGTGTCCACCTGCAAATCTCTTCTTGAGCCACTTTTTGAATATGAGCCATTAATGCCACGCATTTTCAGGATCTGCAGAGATGGGCGCCTCGGGACAAAGTGTAACCATCGTTCCCGCTGGCTTGAAGTCTCTGGGCTTCACTGTGTCATCCGTCAAAAGTCGCCCAGGGGAGATAAGTGGCAAAGGTGAGTAGGAGCAGGCCGAGAGGCATCTGTTCACTCTCGGCCTTGAGGTCCTCCGGGCGGGTCGGGAACAAAGCCCTTGGGGTCAGATATCACACTGCGACCTCAGGTCGGTGCTACGAGAAGGGGCCACTCCTTGCCAGGTGAGCTCATGAGACTCAGAGGAGACCTGACCTGCCTTGTGGCCACTCAGCTGCTGAGCCGGGAAAGGGGCCCACTGGTGTCGCGCCCCCACCCCTCCTGCTGGCCCCCAAGGGAAGAGCTTGGCACCATCCACGCCGCGATTGTTGGAAAGAAGGAAACCTCGGGGAGTTCCCAACCCTCCCGTTCTCTCCCCTCCTCCCAGGCCCCCACCCAGGGCCCTGCACCCACAAGGAGGTACAGCCACAGAGGAGGGCTGTTGGCACCCGGGCCAGCCCTTCAGAGCAATGGAGAGGGAGGCTGGGCCGGGGGCTCTTCGCAAGCCCCTGGCTCCTCGGTGGCTCCCCCCCCCCCCGCCACGAGCATGCGATCGTGGGGGCGGCACGGTGGACTGCAGCCTGACTTGGCCCGAGTTGCAGGCAGAGGAGGTGGGGAATGAGGTGGGGGGGGGGGTGCAGGAGGGCAGAGGCCGAGGCAGAGAGAGAAAGTCTGAAAAGCGAGTCCTGGCAGAATGTGCCAACTTGGAGGACTCAGGAGGCCCGGGAGGCCGGCCAGGACGCCCCGAGGACGCTGGGCCCCTGCCGGGGCCTCAGGGGGACACGGTCCCTCCGCTCGGTACTCAGGAGTGGCCTGAAAACCCCTTCGGTCCTGCCCAGCCCCCCGACCCCTCAGTGGGATTTAACCAGGAGGCTGGGTGAGGGCCGCAGAAGCCTCGAGGGAAAGGCTTGCTCTCGGAAACGCAGCTCACGCCGGACAGTGACGGGGACAGGGCAGTGGCGGTTTGCCAGGAGAAGGGCAAGGGGAGGCGAGGACAGTTTCCCTGGACGCTCGGTACCCTTGTGAGTCACCGCCCGCCTGTGTGAACGCCGCCCCGCTGTTCTGCTCTCCTGACAGTGCTGTGTCTCATCAGCCTGTGACAGGTTCACCTTCCTGCACCTGGGAGGGAGGGGCATCACGCGGGTGACGCCTCAGCTCGGAGAGATGCTCTTTTGTCTCACGTCCCGATGCCCGGAGGAATTTGAATCTTACGGCTGCTACTGTGGGCAGGAAGGACGAGGCGAGCCGAGGGACGCCCTGGACAGGTAGGGACGGGCAAGGGCAGCAGCCCGGCGGTCGGCGAGAGGGGACAGCCCTCCTCTCCGCTGGCCACGGCCTCACAGAGAAGCGCCAGCTCCCTCAGGGCGGCTCGCCGCCATCACGGGCCCATTTTCCTGATGAGCAACTGAGGCTCGGACATGACTAAGGTGCTGTGAAGGTGCAGAACCACACAGGTCTGGGACCTGTCAAGGTGGGGAGTCTAGAGTTCTTTAGCCGCCAGGTACCGCCCTGCTGTTTGACCTGAAGGTGGCCACAGTGAGATTCAGCTTCTCAACAACTTTCAAGGGTCACCGGTAAATTTTATAGCCGCCACTCCTGCAAGAATTTTCAGTGACCTCGTGTGTTGATGGATGCATCCATTCATTCACACATGCACTCAGCCCACGTCTTGAACTTTCGCTCCGCGCCAGGCACTATGCTAGGTGTGGTGGGGACATGCAGATAGTTACACCAGAACGAAGCGGATCGAAACACACTGCTGTTTTGGCAAATATTACTGCACTGGGCACGAGATGGGCAATTCAACCAAAAGACCCACGGATGTAATAAATGTGGCGGAGGAAACAGAGGAAACGGTGGGGGGCGGGGGGAGGGATGCCAACCTAGACAGGACTTGCGGGAACATTCCGAGGGCAGAGTAGGTATGGAGTACAGGCTGCACGTGAGGGCCCCACCCCGGCCCACGGCCTGCAGGGAGCTCTGCGCTCCAAAGGCATACGCCCCTCGGGACGGTGGGGCTGCCGAAGGAAGATGGACAGTGACAGAATGTCCTGGAAACAGGGATGGCAGGCACACGGGCATGTCACCTGCACTCGCCCCATCACTCACCTCCATGGGCCCTCTGCCCTCACCCCGTCATCTGAGCTCCGCCGGGCATCCCAGGGAGGAAGCTAGGGCCGCCTTCCAAACTTCCTCCTACAGGGTGCCACCTGCCACCAGTGTCTATTCCAGCAGAGTACGTAAGAATCGTAAGCGTGTCTACGTTAGGAAGGTCGGCAACACGCCCCCCCGCTCCCCAAGACAGAGAACGATGCAGGCGCTACTGCTCCCGAGGCCATAGCTCTCCGGCGCTTTAGATGAGGGGTAAAAACCTAGGGTTGGTCCCAGGGAAGGACGGGGGGCGGGGTGCTTCAGGAGAGGCCTCCTGGCCACTGGCCAAACTGCACAGAAACATGAGATCTGACTGGGCAAACTGACCAAGGAAGTCAATATGGCTTCCTTGACATTCACAGGGAAGGAATCCAAACTTGAAAGCCATAACCTTGACCAAGGAAGAGGTTCTCAAATTGATATTGTTTTCTGCAAGGGTGTCCTTTCAAAACCATGTATACTTTACATCCCGGGCAATTAGGGGTGACTTTTAAGGGTATTTTGATCACATGTGATTTCTGATTCACTCACTGCCTTTGGATTTTAACAATTATTTTAGCTACCCACCCCCAGCCACCCCGGCCTGGTGCAAGCACCAGTGTGGCTCAGCTATAACAATGGCTGAGCGGGGCTGCCATTCGTAGCCTACATGGACCTCCTGCCATTGGCTAATGTGACAGGCACGGTGGGTTGCTGGCAACAGACAAAGCAGATACCTTGGCTGAGCACAAGCATCACCAAAAGCCGTGACTGAGCCCTGCTCTGGCCATGGTCTCTGACGTCATGTGAGAGCAATTTAAGGATGGGGCGAGTGGCAAAGGGAAGATTTCGGGGGAGTGGCATCTCCTGGGGGCTGGAGGTGTCACAGGATTCCTTCAGATGTCCGTGTGGCCGGAGGACACTGGCAACTGTGAGGTTCTGTCAGGTCTGTCTAAAAGCCAAGACACTGATTCACTCATTCCCATATGGTTACCGAGGTCTTGCTCCATGAGGCAGACTTTTCTAGATGCTCTTCTTCACTTATGCTCTGCTCTCTTTCAAGGGTGGGGGCCAACGGGGGTGCCCTATGGATGTGGGGTGAATTATTCTATTATGTAAAAGGTTGGAAGGAGCAGGGTAATCCATTTGGTACCTCTGCGTAAACGAAAGACAGCACCCCTTCCTCAAGACGATTTCCAACTGTTGGCAAATTACTGTAATACATATGCAAATCATTCATCTTTGCAGTCAACAGTTGTAGTAATAAAAATACAAAAAAAGAACATTTTTAATACTAAGATGCATACAGCATGATTGGCATGGTCTTAAATGTTGCATCTTTGTGCAGTGCACAACTTAAACAACCATACATGATGGCCCTCTGTGTGCTGGAAAGGAGGCCTTGGCTTGTCTCACTGCTGTAGGGATTATGGGAGAAGCAGGCCTTGAAGGAGCTCCTGGGGCAGCTGGGTTATCCTTGGTCTTAGGTGCTGTTTTTCCCACCACTGCTGCCTGGAGCAGGTGAGAAGGCTGGGCTGCCTGTTTGAGAGGCTTCCTCCATCACCAGTGGAGTGTGTGGACGGCGCAGCCAAGTGTAAGTGCCGCGGGCCTGTTACAGCGAGCCTTTCCCTTCATCCACGCTGGCATCATGTACGGCTCAGGCCTACCGGTGCTTTCCCCACCACGTTTTTGTCTAGACTGTGATTTAATACTCTTGACTGTGAGGCACAGTTAGTACCCTATTCTGACGAGGACGCTGAAGTTCGAGAGGCTAAGTCACCAGCTGCCTCCAGAGCTGGCGAAGGGCAGACCGGGGATGACACAAGTAGCCCATGCACGTGCCTACACGTGCCAGCCGGAGCTCTCCAGATGTATTAGCAGTTAACTGTCCCAACGACCGTGAGGAGGCACCGAGTCTCCCCTTTATGAGAAGGTGGCCAAGGCCAGGGTCACAGAGCAGCAAGAAGTCAGTGGGAGGAGAACCACACTGCCTGAGACCAAGGACCGAGACCTTGCGCTCGAGGGTCTTGTGGCATTTTTCTTCTCTTCCAAAGAAGCAGAAATCTTCTCCCAAGTGAACTGAGGAGCCCCATAAAAAGGGAGAGCCCTGGCTGATGGAGAGATGGGCCTGCAGCCCCCTCCTCCCTCCCCTGAGAGCCTCGGCAGGACACGGTGTCCCTGTGAGCGAGCGTCACTCTCACGCACCTCGAGCCTGCTTTAGAAGTGGCTCCATTTCCTCGTTGCACCGATGATACCCATCTCCACCCCCGCAGCATGCAACTGAAACATTCAAGAAATCGGGTAGGGTTGCCAGATCTACCCGCTAAAATAGCAAATAAAAATACATGAACTTAAATTTCAGATAAACAAGTAATTTTCAGTGTCAGTACGTCCCGAATGGACATAACTTATATGAACACATTTATCTGAAATTCACATTTAACTGGGCCTCCCCTATTTTATCCGGCAATCTTAAAATAGATTGGACAAGAACTACTTCCATTTGACAAAGGGGGAAAGTCTGGCCCAGAGAAGTAACAGTTCCGTCCAACAAATATTTCCCGAGCGCTAACTCGGCAAACAGGTGTCAAGGATTGACTTAGGTGCTCGAACACATGGGCTCTGCCAGCAAGGTCCTCTGTCCAGCTAGAGGGGAAGGTAGAAACAGATACGGACGATTAATGCACAATGTCATGAATACACAACGTGCTGGGAAGGTAGAACCATAGATGGGATTTGAGGAGTGTCCACAGGAAAGATCCTCCCCTTACTAAGGGGTCTCAGGGAAGCTTTCTAGAGGAGCGGATGCCAAGGGGGGTATTAACAAACAGGTAGGAGTTAACCAGAGGTGGGAATATTCCCAGCAGGGAGATCACGTATGCTGGATGCCGCGAGGTAACAAGATGGCGGGGGTGTGGGTGGGGGGGAACGGGGCCACGTGCCACCCACCCTCTCATCCACTACTCTGTTCTTGCCCTCAAAGGTGTGGGGCAGAGCCTGTGCGCGAAGCTGCTTTGTGCCTGTGACCAGACGGCGGCCGAGTGCATGGCCTCTGCCTTCTTTAACCAAAGCCTCAAGTCCTTGGGCGAACGAGGGTGCCCGGGCCACAGGCCGTCCTGTGAGGACAGCTCGCACGGAGGGCCTGCGGCTTCCTCCCTCGGCTCCAGCTCTGAGGAGAACAGTGAGGAGGCCGCGCCCCACATGGAAAGCCTGAGAAGAACCAGAAGGTTTCTGGGGAAGCCACTGGGTGGTGTGGGGACCAGGCCAAAACACGGCCCCAGGCAGATCCCCAGAGGAAGCGAGGAGCACACCCTGTAGCTTCCTCCCTTACCGCCTCCTCCTCTGTCCTCAGCACAGGCCCAAGGGGAAGAGGGCCGGGACGGCCCTGGGGGGTCAGCTCGAGCGGCAATGTGCACTGAGAGAGGGCGGATGAGGGGCAGCTCTGTACTTGCTTCAGTGCACCCTGGAAGCTCAATAAATACTCCAGTCGGTGTTGGTGCTGGTTTTGTTTTGATGAAACGTCGTAGATACTGGTGCGTGAGTAGATGTCCAACGGAAGAGGACAGAACCATGGAGCAAAAAATGATCTCCACTCTAGAATAACTGAAAATGACTTTTTCATTCTATTAACAATGGATCTTATGAGATGACCGACAGGGACACCAGTGGCCCACCGAGGAGATCTATGAAGAACTGAGATGATGGGTCTGGCATGAGCCCTAAAAGAATACTTAGATAGAATGCTAGAATACTTAGCATTCTAGTTGTTACAAGTGGCCATGTGTCATGGCCACCACCAGGAAGAATCACTGCTCATGCTTGTCTGAAGTCTGGGATTCTGTTTTGTTTTGTTTTAAAGGGTTTATCCCAGTGGCTGGAAGTTTGGGGGGTTTACATGCCCATGCTGACAGGGGCAGACTAATATCACGGTTGCTGGAAAAAAACAAATGCTAGCCGTCGTTCCATCCACCCACTCACCTGACCGTGTACCAGGCGGAAGGCAGCGTGTTACTAGAATCCCCCACAATATTGGGTAGGAAGACAAACTCCTTGGTTCACATCACATCCTTGGCTCCCAATCCCCATAAACCCCATGTCCGGTAGAGAGAGAAGAGTCCCCGTCAGGACCCGCTGGAGTTCAGTGTCGCTGACCTTCTTATGGCAGACAATCTCTGAAGTTGAAGACAAGGGTAAGAAAGTCAAAGATCACGGTGTCAAGCCAAGAGCTGATGTCCTTCCTACCTTCCAGGGGAATCATGATCACACGACACTTTTGATGAATCCAACACACTGGCACCTTTTCTACGGTGACTTTAACTAGCAGCCAAAGTTTGGGTTCTCCCAAAGTAAACTTTGGGTTCTCAAAGTCAACCCTCTGACAAAAACTTGAGAGCAAGTTCGGTTGGGAAGTGAGGGACAGCCCGATGGAGACCAAAGACGCAGGACGGGAAAGACAACGAAAGGTGCCTTAGCAAACCGGTTCTAGAAGTAGAACACAGAGAGAGGAGAGAGGTCAGGGTGTCAGCTTCTGGCAGATCAGCCAACACTCCTGGGGAGGAGATTTCCTTCTGGCCTGCTGCCCGTGGGGGCAAAGTGGGCTCCGGGGGCCAGAGGAAGGCTTCAGGCAGAGAAACACAGGTGCTGGCGGCTGCCATCAGCCAGCGTGTGGTTAGTTGGTGGCAGAGGAAGGCAGGTTGCTGGCGGCAGTTGCTCCAGCTACTACACTGCTGGCTGGCTCCTCCTTCCTTCAGCCCACAGCTGTTTACCAACTGTCCGCTCCCACAGGCAGTCATGGTGGTGCCAGCCTGCACTTGTACGGTGACCATCTGCCTCCCCCACATCTTCACCAGAGGCGGCTGGATGTCGCTCAGGGAAAAAAACAACTGGCGTGACCCACTTCACACTCGTAGCTCACAACCTTAAAACCTCATGCGGGTGCTCAACCTCTCCTTAGAACGTTGACTTTCCTGCTCTCCGAGACCACGGTCTGGCTTTAGCTCCTCTCCTCAGACCTCCCACACGTTCCCCTCGCACTCAGCTCAGGACTCTGGAGGACTGTCAAGGGTCTGAGACTTCACCCTCCTTGCAACTTAGATGATCTGCATTGCATGGATGCTAGCAGAGGACACGTGACACCTGGGTCAGAGACAAAGGACTTCATTATCTACAGTAACGGTAGTTGTCTGGGTATCAGCATTTATGCTGCTCCCTCGAGCCAAGACGATGCAGACCACACACACACACACACACACACACACACACACACACACACACAGTGGACTTCATCACATGGGAGAACCTTGCATTTAGGGAATCTAAAACCACTATCTTGGCTGTAAGCCTGCTTGACCTTCATCCCAGAACACATTAACTTTATACATGAGAGTAAGCGGGCCTGCCCTTGGCTCCAAAGGGAGACCCCACCCCCCCCTCCCTTCCTATAGTCTGTTTGCTATTACTACATTCTGGAAAAAGCGGTCCAGGATAAATAAAGGCTGTTGGTGTCCGCATGCTCACAGGACATGCATGGACACAACAGATACAGCAACAATGGTCTCAGCTAACAAACACTCCACTTTGAAAAAGCGAAGGTTTCTAACGGGAATGCCTTCCCGTTCTGCTGCCAAAGCCACAAAATTCCCTGCAGTCTTTCTCTTCCCTCCCGTTACAATGAAGCGTTCCTGATCTGGATCAAAAGTCAACCCCTCCCACAAGCCTCTGTCTACAAGGCTCTATTGCCTTCTCCAGTATTTTCCTTTTTAAATCAATTTATGCCTTTTCTTCTGTATCAATCTAATCAGCATGAAAACATGCCCTAAAATCTCCCATCTTTAAAAATCCCTCCCTTGACTCATTTAGAGGAAGTGTGAAATTATAAATCTGATGCTCTTGGCTTAAATACCAAACTAGACGGTACTCTGTTGAACATGTTTAACCTGCCTCTGCATCATCCAACCCCACCTCGTCCCCTCTCCCCCCTCCACTGCTGTGACAACCGTTTCCACAGACTTCCACCTGCCTCATTCAGGGCCTTCTGACCGTCCACTCTCCCCGTGTTCTGACACAGAATGTCTGCGCAGGAAGCATAGTGCACCCTGGGAAACCACTCGGGGCTCAGGCACACAGTCCAGAAATAGGGGTTGGGGGAGCATGGGTAGGTACTGTCAGGAGGCCACTCTGGGAAATGAAAGGTTGCATGCTTCCTCGGTTTCCGTCACCTGGGTGGACAGCGCGGAGACGGATGTCACCTCCAGTGATGGACAATTCATGAACGAATCCCCCTAATGAGCTCCTCTCCTTGCATGGCACTATTCCAGGCCCAGCACAAGCCCTGCGTCGAAGCCTCAGTCTTAGCCCAGGTTCTCCAACAGCAGCCTACGACCTTGGCCTCCTAACAGTCTGCCTGCGACTCAAAGTGCAAGCACAAAGCAAATTCAGCAGGACGGGGAAGAGGGCTTGATGCTCTACCTTGGCTCTGCTTTTTCATTCATTCTTGGTGCTTGAGATCGATATGCATCAGAAGAGCTGACAGGATCCAACGAGTTAGGGTTGGAAAGAAAAGCAAATGACCCAGCGCATCATACACACTGCTCCTTCTACACTGCAGCCTCCCGGAGGGAGAATCGGAGAATCGATCAGCAAACCACGGCAGGGACTAGAGCCGCTATTTTCTGAGAGAATTGATACAACAAGACTGTCTACAACCAGGAGAGGGTGAGCTGCAAACATGAAGGCGGCGGCAGAGAGCAGCCAAGGCTTTCCCGGCTCAGACCTGTCTGGTCACCACCGGCGGCTGCCCTTCTGTCTCTTCCGCATACGTGAGGTTGCATCCACCTGGCAACTTGATTCTTACTACAGCTCTTCATTTAAAAAATTTTTTTTAATGTTTTATTTATATTTGAGACAGAGAGAAACAGAGCATGAGCAGGGGAGGGGCAGAGTGAGAGGGAGATGCAGAATCTGAAACAGGCTCCAGGCTCCGAGGTCAGCACAGAGCCCAACGTGGGGCTAGAACCCACAAGCAGTGAGATCATGACCGGAGCTGAAGTCAGACGCTGAACCAACTGAGCCACCCAGGCGCCCCTAAAGCTCTTCATTTTTAACTAAAGCAAAATATTAAATAAACTTAACTTAGTAAATGTAATCGCTATTATAAATATGTACTTATGCGGAAGTAATCTGATTTTGATTCATTGCTTACATACGAACTGCAAAGGGAACTTTTACATTACAAAAAAACTACTTTGTTAAATTTACTACATATACCGGCATGAATAAGACAAATCAGTTCCATTTTCAGACAGAAAGAAGAGAAATAAATGTTAATTGCTGGTGAAGTGAATTATTCTAAAAGAGGAGTGCAGAAGCTTTAAGGGGTGTACCGTGTGTGTGTGTCCTACACGTGTGTGTGCCCTACACGTGTGTGTGCATTCAGGTAAACTCCAAGGATAGACCCACTCTAAGCAGTCAGAGTCAACACAAGTATAAGGAACGTTCGTATGTTAGCTATTCAATGTCAAAGAAAAAAATGAAGCAAGTGTATACGGCAAAAAGAGAATGATTAACAGTTTATTAAGAGTTTTAAATATCTACAAAAATATAGCCATACAGTGAACTTCAACAAATCGTAAACTTTCAGTCTCCAAACTGGCTTGAACACCACACAGACACCCGTTACCCACAGGACCTCCTACGGTCTCCTGGAAGGGACAAATAAAGCAAAGATCCACTGCTTGGGAACGATTATTCATCTAGGATGTATAGAAGTCTACTCTGATTTAAAAACAACAACGGCAAGAAAACAAAAACCCGCAAAACCCACATCAGTTTACAAACAGACCAAGAGAAAGGTGTGATAAACATTAATCCAAATGGTTTTTCCTTTACATGCAATACATGCCCTTTGAAATCACAGAGAAACATGAAATTCTGTAGAGCAAAGTTCGTTTTGCATTGAGTGCAAATGAATATATCTCTCCTTTACTTATACTATTAAATTATATATATATCTTTTCATACAAAAGCACACAGTGTTAATCTATAAAATGACATCCAAGTGGATGATGATTGTTTCTGCATGTCCCCCTGCTCAGATGTCTTTAAATGCACAAAAATTAATACCCTTCTTTAAAAATACAGAAAATAGGGAAATAAAAAACATGAAACGTGGCCTCTTACGTGGTGACACATTTTACCTGATCAGAAGGCAAAGTTCCAGTGACAGCCGCAGTACGTCATTCATACTGTGCGGGCTGCACTGTTAGCTGCAGATGCACACTTACTACAACGCCGGGGAGGCCCAAGTAGCTTCTACGGGGTCTAGACAACAAGGGTCTTTTGCGAGATGCTTCAAAAC